GTCAACTTTTTTTTCTTTTTTTTCTTTTCACCCAATCCCCAACCTCCATATGTGTGAGGAATCCCGATCCTCGGCTGCCCTACCCGGCAGCCCCCCAAAACGACGTCGTTTTGGGGGGCTGCCGGGTAGGGCAGCCGAGGATCGGGATTCCTCACACATATGGAGGTTGGGGATTGGGTGAAAAGAAAAAAAAGAAAAAAAAGTTGACCAATCAAAACTAAAATAGGTCAAGGGGGTGACTCCCAAAGGGGGTCTCAACCTTTATTCTTGATTCAAAATGTATAATCAACCAGACCAAAAAAAATTCTAAACTCCTTCTCTAAATTTTTTTAAAAAAAAATTTATCTCAAAACACAAACTAAACACACCATTTATTATCAAAACAAATCATTCCTCTCCTTCCTCCCTCTCTTCCTCTGCGTTTTTTTTTTTTTGAAAATTTGCCCTCAAAACGACGTCGTTTTGGGGGCTGCTGGGTAGGGCTGCCGGGTAGGGCGGCCGAGAATCCGGACTCATGTGTGAGGGGGTTGTGGGGGTAGGTGTTTTAAGGGGGTCTAAATCAATGCCCTTGAATCAATTATGCTGGGGACCCCAGTAGGGACGACCCCAGCACCCCTCACCTCCACGTGGCGGGCTCCAAGTGGTAGGGAAAAAAAAAATAGTTAAGGACCAATTAAAAAACAGTGGGGGTGGTGGGGGTCACCCCCACTGGGGGTTTCAAGCATTTTTCATTTTGAAAATAGTTTTGGATTTTAAGAGTTTAGGATGATTTAATATTTTATTATAGTTAAATAGATGTGTATAAGAGAAAAAATGATTGAGAATGAGAGAGCAGAGAGGAGAGAAAAAAAATGATTGATTATTGTATGGAAGATAAAAAGTAATTAATTTTTTTTTTCCTAAAAAATTTGAACTAAATAAAATTTTAAAATATATATATTTTGAAACAAAAACCAAACAAATCCAAACTTTTTCTTAATACTAGTTTTTGAATCGAACAGTTTACGCTCTTAACGAGTATTACAAACCGCTCCGTTAGAATTCCTACATGCAAGGCAGAGGCACGAGAAGTGATCATCCAACAATTTTTGCCGTTAGTTAAGTCGTCAATTTAGGGATGGACCCCACTGGTCAACGTCAAATATACTTCGCCAAGTTTTTACAAGCACTAGCTTCTAAAAACATCCCCACTGCTGATTTAAGTGCTGATGATGATCCCTACCGTTCAAAATTAAAGAGAAGTTTATAATGTCAACTGATTTTAAGAATATTCATAAATTATATTTATATATTTTGTTTTAATTTTAATAACTTTTATTTGAATTTTTTTGAAAAAATAAAAATTAGTTTGATAAAAATAAACACTTAAAAGATATTTTAAAAATTATTTTGCCATCAAAAAATATAAAAAATAAATATAAATTTGACGAGTATTCTTTATTTATTATTATTTTCACTAAATTATATTTATTGTTTTTCCAATAAATTTCAAAAAACAGATTATAAAAATTAAATCAAACACAGAGACAATTTTTTATTTTTTATACTAATTGTCCAAAGAAATGGGGATTAAAAAAAATAAATTTTGGGATGCATTTACCACCCCCTATGGTGGGTGCATGGCTCTCACCTGTGAGTTCAAATCCAGCATGTTCAACTCACAAAAAGGAATCCATTTGCTCTATTTTGTTTTGACATTTAAAAAATATATTTTTTAGATTTTTTTTTTTTGTGTGCGCGCACGCATGAGCGTGTGTTGTGTTCAGTATCTTTTTTTTCTTATTTTTAAGATGCATCTAATTTAAATGTGCATAAAAAAAATGTGAAAAAATCTAAAAAGAATTCAATAAATACAAAAATATACTGAATTCATGTATTTTTTTTTCTATTTAGTGAATTTTAAAATAATTTTTACATACTTTGTAATTTTTAAGTGTATTTAGATTAATTAGATTTAAAAAAAAATTAAAGAAAAGAAACACCAATTGAAAATTTAAAAATTATTTTTGTAGTTCCAAAACCAAACAAAGTGATTGATATTTTCAGATTTGGATAATTAAATTGTATTTAGGCTTCATTTGTGAAGTTGAGTGGACTTTTTGGCTTTTCGACTATTCTAACCTCAACTACAAAATTCATTTGGGTTGTCTTTTTTTGATTATTTTGACTTTAGTGAGAGAAAAAATAAAATGATTATAATTTGAATATAATATTTTATCTTATTAATTTATTAATTTATCTTATTTTTTTATGATTAAAAAATCAGATGCCAAACGAGCTCTAAATCACCTTTGAATTAAATGCTTTGGGATGCTCACTGGAATCCATCTAATCTTTTTTTTTTCTTTTTTTTTTATCTCAACTTATCTTTCTTAACTGTATGAATAAAGTAAATGACACAGCATCCACTGGATTCCTAATTTTACTTAAGAATTAAGGTATTGATTGGTTTGTGTTTTAGAATTATGATTTGAGTGTAAAATTATATTTTGAATTTGTGAGTTTTGAAATTATGATTTAAAAAGAGAAAATTTGTTTAATTATGAGTTTTAAAAAAAAAAAGTTTTGAATTGAATTTTAAATTGAGTGTTGAATTTTTGAAATGAGTGTTGAGTTCTTGAAAAGTTATTTGATTATGAGTTTTGAAAAGAATTTTCAAAACTTAATTAAAAAACTTATAACTCTTATAACTAAACACACATTAAAACTCTATTAAAAATTCTATTCAAAACTTATAACCAAATTCTTTTTAAAATTCAATTCAAAAAAATAATTGTTGAAAAAAATAATTTTTTTTATTTTAAAAATTAAAAAAATTCAGAAAATATTTTTTTATTAAAAATATTAAAATTTTGTTCACAAAAATATTCAACTAGTACTTTGAAATTACTTTTAATTTTATATTTGGTTCAAAAAAAAATTTAATTGTTTTGTTTAAAAATATTTTTTATTTTTTAAAAATAACTGTAACAAATTAATTTTTATTTCATTTTTTTTGTGTTAATTTTAAATAAATGACCAAATAATTTGTCATTTTGGTCTCAAAAAAATATTTTATATATGTTCTAAATAAGTGCACTTTTTGACTTTTTATAAAAAGATGTGTAGAAAAGTAGAGAGGAGATATTGATTGATGTGACCCAAAAAAGATAAAAAGTGTGGACTTATTTAGTCTTCCCAAACTTGGCCATATATACAACTCCATTTTGTAGCTCGAATTTTTCGTGGCTCAAGTGGCCTGAAATCCCAAAACAACGTCGTTTTGGGATTTTTTTTTTTTTTTTTTTCTTTCTGTTTTGCCCCTTTTCTTCATAACTCAGAAGAAAAAGAAGAAGAAGAAAGGAGAAGAAGAAGAAAGTAGAGGAAGAAACACACACACATCTCGAGATCAAACACACAAATCAAACCCCCCGTACATACACACACACATCTGGAAAATCAAACCACCCACACACACACACACAAACACAAATCAAACCCCCCCCACACACACAGAGCAGCAAACCAGCACGAGCCTCGTCGACAGTAGCACCAACCTCATCAGCACACAAGGAAATCGGCAATATGGGTCATCCTTCGTCGTCCTTCGTCATCCTTCACAGAGGCGATGAGGCGAGAGAGGCGAGAGGGATGAAGTGAGAGTGAGCGGAGGCGATAGCGGCAGAACCAACATGAGCCTCGTCCTCTCTTTCTCTCTCTTTCTCCCTCCCTCCTTTCCTCTGTTGCGTTTCACAGATAAAAAGAAGGGAAAAAATCGAAATCAAAACAACGTCGTTTTGATTTCGAGCCATTTGAGCATGGGGAGTTTCGAGCTACAAGCTATTTTTCATATACATATATATATTTTTTAGATAACAGGTGCCAATTGCTATAAAAAAAATTAAAAAATGTCCTAGCATAAGATCATTCATGTGATTATTGATGGGATCGTGGAATATGGATAAAAAAAGAAAAAAGTAATACAATGTGCTAAATTTAAATTTTAAAAATATAAAAAGTTTTTGATTTGACTCTAATGTTTTATTCGAGTTATTAGAATGGAACAAAATTAAACAATCATTCCTTCAAAATGTCTACTATTATGTTTGGTTGAGTAAAAGAATAAAGAGTTAATTACACTAATAGTTCCTATAGTTTGAGACTTGTGTCACTTTAGTTCCTAACTTTTCAATTGTGACACATTTGACCATGAATTTTGAATCTTATTCTAAATAAGGACAATTGAAAATATCATTTGATTTTTCAAGAGTAAAATTGTCAATTTCATAAAATATAAACTAATTTGACAAAAATAAATGTCAAAAAATATTTTTAATTTTTTTAAAATTAAATTTATCCACCAATGATAAAATTATGTAAAACTAATAAAAATTAAATGATTAATTTTTTAAAATTAATTTTACATGATCATCATCCAAACGCATAATAAAAATTAATTTGGTAAAAAAAAAATGTCTAAAAGATTTATCAATTTTACATAATTTTATTTTTAGCAAGTAGAAATAATTTTTAAAAATTCAAAAATATTTGTTTGACATTTATTTTTGTCAAATTAGTTTATATTTTATCAAATTAACAATTTTACCAATGAAAAATCTAATTATATATTCAATTGTCCTTATTTGGAACAAAATTCAAAATTCAGGGTCAAATGTGTCACAATTGAAAAGTCAGGGACCAAAGTAACATAAGCTCCAAACTATAGGGACTATTTGTGTAATTTGCCCAAGAATAAATTATTATTCACTATCGAAAAAAACTATCATTCTAAAGAAAGGTTAAAAAATGATCATTTCATTTAATGTTATTCAAATCAAATATTATTTAAAATTACAATTTTGATTTGTGTTATCAGAAATGCTTTATAGCTCGAAAAATTCCCCCCCGAATGGCCAGAATTTCTGAAACGACGTTGTTTTGATTTTGAATTTTTTTTTTTTCTTTTCTCAGAGTCGACTCCATTCGAGCCCTTAGTCTCTTCCAAATCCTCTCATCTCTCTCTACTCACTATCTCCTGGAACCCTTAATCTCTTCTGAATCCTCTCATCAGCTACGGGTGTAGACTCGCATAACAGATCTTCAGCAACGGGTGTGGATTCGGCAGTGTCAACTAGCAGAAAAAAAGGTACCACAACTAAAGGTAAACCCATAATCGCAAAAAAACTAGGGTTTGTGTTTCTGTGTTTGAATTTTTCTTACAATTTGTGTTAGGGTTTTGGTTTTGGCTTGAATTTGTAGAACATGTTTTCTGGCCTTATCAATTAATGATTGTTAGGGTTATGATTGTTTGTTTGGGTTTGGGCATTATGGGTTTTACCTTCAATTTTTGATTGTTATGATGATTCACTTGTCTGCAATTGTTTTTAGGTGCTGTAGCTTTTTTTTTTCCTTGTGGATGTTCATTCCAAGGAAGTTTTGGGAGCAATGTCACTCATTTTTAGTGTTTTTCCCTTTGGTTTATCATGATAGGCCTGAATAGTTATCAAATTATGTTTTCTTATGTCAGGGCTTTTATCTAGGTTATCTCTTTAGGATACCTAATCAATGGTTGCATATTGTATGTGCTGGGCAGATCAATTAGAGCATTTACATATGTAGTTATGCTGATCAAGTCACCTGTTATGATGGAAGTTTATTGAGCCAAGGGGAATTAAATCAGTTCCCTTAGGTTTCAAATTTTAGCCATAAAAGTGAATGAATAGGCCTGTGAATACATTAAATATGCCTCTGATTTCAAATATCAAATTCTGTTTGTATAAAAGAGCATGGTTTATACTTTATGGTTGTTTTAAATTTCCATGTTGCTGAAGATGTGCATTGTGATTTAAAAAATTCCCTATTTCTTGGAACCTACCTAGGAAAGAACACAAGATTTCTTCTTGTTTACTTTTGCTTATGAAGCTGGTTGCATATTTATCGATTAAAAAAGTACCGAGTTTTAATAACATTAATAAAACAGTAGGTATGTATGTATCAACAGTAGCAATAATAGCTATGTATGTATCATGTCTCTGTTTTCCATTTTGTATGCAAATTACAAAATGGCTTCTTCCTCTAGTAACAATAGCAACATAAGATTGAAACCAAGATTGTGTAATTGTAGGAGAACAGCTGCCATGCACATTGTCCGAACCAATCAGAATGGAAATAAAAGGACGTGTGTACTTTGTGTGTCCATCGAAATATGTAAGCAGTATGGAAATTTGTTTGCAAATTTATTAGCTTGATTTGATTAACTTATTGTCATGCCTTGTAGATTAGTGAGGAACACTGCAATTACTTCAAGTTCGCAGATGATGATAACGACAACGTGATCTCCAATGCTGCACCTCGTAAATCTATAAGAAGCGAAGAATTTAACGATCTAAGCACAAGGGTTTATGAGATGGATAATGAATTTCAGGAGGATGATAGAAGGCTTCGAAGGATGGAGAAAAAATTGAATGTCGTGCTTTATATCATTGTATTTTGTATTGTTTTCTATTTTATAATGTAAATTGCTGAGTTGATAGCTTTTGGGGAATTTGATGGATGTACTTATGGATTGAATGGATTTGATGGATGTACTTATGGATTGAAAGGACTTGAATGGACTTGATGACTTGAATGGACTTCTATTTTCAATTATTGTTGATAGGTTGTGTCATTTGTTGATCTTTAGTGCTGGAAATACTTTTTCACTAAAAACCTGTAATGGCCTTTCTGGTCTGATGTTAGGGCAGCATTCTCACATGGGAATTTACAGGTAGACCAGTAGTTTGACATACTTTGCTTCTGCATCTGTATTCTAAGAATTGAATATGTCCTTGGTTACCTCAGGTTTTTTATGGGCATGGAGGAAAGCATGCAATTGACTTCGCATACAACCATTTGTAGAAGCTTGCTCATTGAATGTATTACCTATCTTGTGCCTTATTTTTCTAACTGTTGCTTCATGTATTACCTATCCTGTTGCATTGGCGTTTCTACAACCACTTCAATATGTTACTAATGTTTTCAATTTGGTCTCCACTATTAAAAAGAGTCTTTAATACCAAATGCAAAGCCAAGTGAAAGTTTAAATGTGCCATGCTTTAACAACAGGTGACTTGATCAGCATAACTCTATTGTGGACATTCCTTTAAGTAGTACAAATTCCTATCAAATAGAGAAAAGAAACAATAGATACCCAAACATATAATTACAAGTTCATAGGATTATTACCATTATTAGTTTTTATAGAACCATACCCAACAGTAGGGCATTCTTCAAAATTAAAGCATGTATGTTGACTGAAACTATTAAAACCTAGAACATCATCACCTAAGGCATTGCATTTAGGTTCAGCAAATAAATTTTCCACTGCTATGACTTCATCTTCTAAGGCTGGAAAAAATGACCCATCTTCTACAACCTAGGCAAATAAGATGAACTTTAATCTTACGAACTGAATCAAATCAATGAACATCCATATATAATCAATGTCCACGATATGCATACAACAACAGCTAATATATACACAAGCACTTCCTCTGGTTTAGCACATTGCTCTGGTTTAGCAATGCATCAAAATTAAACAATCAAACAATCAAGTATTTCATTCTGCTGCTTCATTTTGCTGCATCATTCTGCTTTATTCTGCTTGTCATTCTGCTGAACCTGCTTCATTCTGGCTTCAAATAATCAACCTGTCATTCTATTTCATTCTGCTGAACCTGCTTCATTCTGCTGCCTCCATTCTGGACTGCTCTGGTCGTAATAAGAAGAGGTGCTCTGCTGGAAATAGAACTTGACAAATTCATCATTCACAGAACCTGTTCAACATATAACCTATTCAAAATATGCAAAACTTGTTCAAAATATACAGAACTTGATAGAATCTGTTCAGAATCTGTTCAGAATCAAATATAACCTGTTTAGAATCTGTTCAAACATAAGTTTACAAACATAATTTGTTCAGAATCAAATATAATCTGTTCAGAATCAAAATCTGTTCAAAAACTTGACAGAATCTATTCAGAATCAAATATAACCTGTTTAGAATCTGTTCAAACATAAGTTTACAAACACAATCTGTTCAGAATCAAATATAGTCAAATATAATCCGTTCAGAATCAAAATCTGTTCAAAAACTTGACAGAATCTATTCCGAATCAAATATAACCTGTTCAAAATCTGTTCAAACATAAGTTTACAAACATAATCTGTTCAGAATCAAATATAATATGTTCATAATCAAAATCTGTTCATAATCAAAATCTGTTAAAAAACTTGACATAATCTATTTAGAATCTGTTCATAATCAAATATAACCTGTTCATAATCAGTTCAAACATAAGTTTGCAAACATAATCTGTTCAGAATCAAATATAATATGTTCATAATCAAATATAACCTGTTCAGAATCTGTTCAAACATAAGTTTACAAACATAATCTGTTCAGAATCAAATATAATCTGTTTATAATCAAAATCTGTTCAGAATCAAATCTGTTCAAAAACTTGACAAAATCTGTTCAAAATAAAAAATACCATAGGTTTACAAACATAAGTTCACAATTTGGGGCGATTGGATCTGCATCTATATTGAAGTCCACAAAAGCAACTATCCTAAGTTTACAAACGAAAGTGATAAATACCATAGTACGAAACTAAAAAAAAAATGGAGCGTTTGGATCCACATCTATATTCAAATCCACAAAAGTTGAACCATCTATATTTGTCATTCCTGATTCACTCAAAGATGAGCTTCCAATTTTGTCCACCATTTGCAATGCACTCTCTTGTGTCCCATCTATACAAGGAAAATAGTAGGATTGAGCTTGCAGCACTTTATGATACATAATAACAAAATATCATTAATAAGTTCAAACATAATGTAATAAGTACCATACAAAAAATAGTAGTGGACCATGAAACATATATCCGATCGTATGTATTGTCTTCCATGCCATCCGTACAACCGAAATTCAACTTACAAGGTTCACATTGACCCATTTTACGACCCTATAGTAACACACATTGGCTAAAAATTTTGACAAAAATAAATTCTAAAATTTACATACAAATAGAAAATAAAAAATATACCTGGACTTTTGGTGCCTTTTTATTCTTTCCCTTCAACCGATTCACTATTTCATCCACCTTGCTCACCTTCCGTTTCGTACATGGACGGCCTCTTCAGCAAGCAACCAAAGGAGTAAGCACCTTGCGAATAGTACTAGAAGGTGGCACATTACTACTACAAGGTGGGACAGTACTACTAGAAGGTGGCACATTACTCGCACAACCAAATTCATCTTTTCTTACTCTTTCCTTGATTTCTCACAACCCAAGTTGAATGGCTTTGTGTTTACCATCATCGTTGGAAGCAATTTCTATAATTTCATCCAATGTCTTGTGATAGTTATCATGTACCTTTGCATTGAGGACAGACCCGGATTTCGTGTATGTCGTTGGAATGCATATGTATCCTCTTTCTAAATCTTTTCTCCATCTCGGCATAATGTACTTATTTGGAACCTCATATATGCACCTCTCAATGAGCACATTAAGGGAATGGGCACACATGATCCCCCTAAACTCAAACCACCGACACACACGTTGCATTTCAAATTCAGTTGAATTAAAGTAAACAAGAAATTCAACTTTCTTCATTTTCTCACCCACAAGCACAGCTTCCTTGGCATGATAAGTACAAATGGATCCCTCCTCCTTCACAAGAGTCGCATGACAATACAGTAGTCGCTTCAATTCTACTTGAACTTTTTTAAATTTCGCATTTGTGTAGGCTGCACGAAATTGTTTCTCAAACTCATACACTGTTAAGCAATCATACAATTTGTTTCGAGATTTGAAGTCTGCTTTGGTCTCCTTCTCCACCTTACTTCTCAATGCATTGTCGTACTGTTCAACAAATTGCTTTAAAGTAGTCTTTGAGTTTACATAGCCATCAAAAAATGCATTCATGCTCTCACTTCGTTGTGTAGTTAACATGCCAACCCAAAATATATCTTTCATATAGACAGGAATCCACCTATGTCGCTCACCATATAATACCCCCAACCACTGGTTGTCATGGAGGCTAAACTTTCAATCATCGTTTGTCATTCCTCATCAAATTCATCTTTTCTGAAAGAATCATAGACTGCATTTTGTAAAGCGAATTTGATGGCTTCATATTGGGAATATCCTCTCAATTTCTCGGGAATTTTCTTCATTACATGCTATAAACACCAACGGTGTCGAGCCTGTGAGAAAACAATTTGTATGGCATTTTGCATGGCTCTGCACTAGTCAGTTATAATAGCTTTTGGAGGAGTGGCTGACATATAATTTAACCATTCTTTGAATAGCCAAACAAATGTCTCCGTGTTCTCATTAGATAATAGCCCACAACCAAACAAGATTGACTGTCCATGGTGATTAACTCCTACAAATGGAGTAAACGGCATATCACACTTGTTTGTGAGATAGGTGGTGTCAAATGAGACAACATCCCCAAATGCTTTATAAGCCGCCCTACTCCTTGCATCCGCCCAAAACAAGTTTCGTATACGACCATCTACATCAAAGTCAATTGCAGAATAGAAGTTTGAATTTTCTTGTTGCATCCTATGAAAATAAAATGCAACTGATTCAGCATCTCCTACCCCAAGCCTCAATCTTCTAGCATTTTAAATGTGGTTCCTTGCATCTCGTTCATCAAATGTTAATGCCTCATATCCCCCCGTTTCAACAACTATAGAATGAAAATTCCTAGACACCCCTATTCCTGCTTCATCATTTATTTCTAATCTTCTCTTCACAAGAGTACGAATCCTCTTATTCATTGGAAAATGCCGTGAGTCGCTAGGAATTAAATCATGCGTATGCTCAAGCACAACTGTAGTTAACTTATATCTTCCGTCCAGTTGTAAAGTTGCTCTTACCTTAGCTTTATAATCAATTTTTGACGACAAAGATGGTTTCAGGGGGTTTACTTCTGATCTTTTTGTCCTCTTCTGCGCGCGAGTACATTCAATTTCAAAGTATTTCACCTTTCCATCCGCTCCAACATTCTGTGTTCTGTAAGCTATAGCAAATCCAAGGTTTTTAACATATTTTGCATAAAACTCATGCACTTCTTGCTTTGAAGTAAAACACATCCCCTTCTTAGGTTCTTCAATTTCACCACTCTCATTTAATGAAATACTGTTCTCCGATTTTTCAATTTCCTCAATCCCATTGAACGAAGTATTGTTTGAATCAATGTCCATTGTACCTTAAAACTGAAATATTGATTCACAATGAACACACTTTAAAATAACATTCCTTGTCCAAAAGCCCAAATCAGATAGTAGCTTCAAACTTAAAATAACATTCCTTGTCCAAAAGCCCAAACGCGAGTACATTCAATTCCAAAGTATTTCACCTTTTCATCCGCTCCAACATTCTGTGTTCTGTAAGCTATAGCAAATCCAAGGTTTTTAGCATATTTTGCATAAAACTCATGCACTTCTTGCTTTGAGATAAAAAACATCCCCTTCTTAGGTTCTTCAATTTCACCACTCTCATTTAATGAAGGATTGTTCTTTGCTTCCTCAACTTCCTCACCCCCACTCAATGTAGGATTGTTTAAATCAATGTCCATTGTGTGAAACACTCTACTGTAATTTGTATAAAATCAGCAGAACGAAATGCACAACAAATCATAAATAAGGTTAGAGACATCACAGATTCAGATTCAGTGATGTTAAACACCACTTAGATTCAAATTCAGACATCACAGATTCAGAGATTCACATATTCACATAAATAAGGTTAAAGTGGATATTAAACACCACTTAGAGGCATCATAGATTCAGTGGTTACATCACAAATATAACCACTATAGATTTAGACACATCAGAAATTCAGCTATAGAACAATAAGGCAACAGCAACTTTGTATACATCACACATGCTAAACCAGATTCAGCTATAGATTTGTATATAGACAGATTCAAATCACAGCTATGGACACATCCCAAAACACACATATACATCACACATAGCAGAAGAATTATATAGCTATACATCACACACATAGCAATTTTACTTTGAGTATTGCAAAGTGTTGTGCATAGAAGTCTACAAAACATGCAACTAACTGATGAAAAAATTGGAAATTCTATTCAAGATAAGTGAGCCAAGCAATACAACAAATATGGTCTGCATTCCTTAATATGGTCTTCTAATCCCCTGTCAAACATAGACCCCAAATATAGATTTCACTTCAACAAGAACAAACATAGACCCCCAAACATATTTTTTAATTGAAATCATCTACCCACATAGACCCAAACATGGATAACCATTCTTCTAATCCCCCACATTCAAGCTTAACAAAAAAATATAAATTTATAAGAAGAAAAAAAAAAATGCACCAGCAGATTCAGGTGAGTACAACGCATAATCCAGATTCACGTCGAAGTGGTATTTCGCTGGTCAACGAACAGCACTGACGGTGGGTAGAGTTTTTCACTAGTCGTCGATGGTCACCCAGGTCGGTAGTGTCAGCACCGGTCGATCTCAGCGGTGGTCGCTCTCGTCTATTCTTCTTTGACTAGTTCCTCTCTCTCTCATCTCCTCTCTTTTCTTCTATTTCTCGCGCATGGTGTCACTTGACCAATGTTGTTGCAACTGAGCCAAACATTCAAAACTCACCTTTTTCAAATTCGGGCGATTCAAGGGGGCTCTTTTCGAGCTACATAGTGGTTCTATTGTATTCAGTTGATTTGTATTATAGGTTAAGAATTTATATGGATGAGATAAAGAACTAGATAAAATAAGTGGATATTGTATTATGCTTGGTTAGGATATCATACAACTAATAATTACATAAAATGAGTAGACATTATTATAATATGTTTGGTTATAATGGAATAAAATGGTGTTTTGGAAAGTTGGTAAACAGCTGGCTTTTTGACTTTTTTGGTGACTTTTTTGGCAAAAAAGCTGGCTTCTTTGGATAAAAAAGCTGGGTTTTTTTGCTAAAAAAACTAAAAAGCCAAAAACCTGACTTTTTTAGCCTCTTCCCAAAGTGCCAAAAAATATCTAATTATTTTTTTGTTATTGGTGTTTTATTATTGAATTATGACATTATTGTTTTGAGAAGTTGGTTAAAGCTAATTTTTTTGACTTTTTTTGGAAAAAAAAAATGTATAAAAAAATAGAGAAGTGATGTGACTCAAAAAAGTCAAAAAATCAAAAAAATGACTTTTAACCAGCTTGCAAAAAAGTGTCAATGATAATATGATATTACTGTTATCTTGAAGTTTTTCTTTACATAATATTTATAATATAAAAAAGGGGGGTGCATTTCTTAGATATATATTGGTAGTTTGTGTTAATTTGTTTGTTGTAATTTATGTTTACAACTTATGTAGTTAAAAAATAAAATAAATGAAAAAGAAAAAAATTAGTATCAACTAAGAGAGCAGTGCTTTTAATTGTTATTTTTTTTTATCATTGATGATGTAATGGTTCCAAAGGAGGATGGGTCAAGTTGGTTCACACTTCGAATGGGTCTGCTGACCTTGATGTCTTCGGTGCGTGCCTGCAAAAAGGTCCAAAGGGGGGAGACGATCTCCCGATGGACACTCCGACGACCAAGTTAAGATAGAACAGATTGATTGTGTGGTGAGGGAAGAAGGGGACGAAAAACTTAACCTTTAACGCATCTACGAAAGCTTTCTTATATCCTTTGCTCAACATTTTCTTGTCAATTCCAGACTTTTGTACTGGTCGAAAGTTTATATTCTAGCTCGCATCATTCGTGGTGAGTTTGTCTTCTCCATCGTGAAGGGGTTATCATATTTAATGTTATGAGAGCCTCATTAATAGCTGATGTATGAGTACGATAACTTTACAAGATCTTTGTCTACTTATGTAGCTATGCCCCTGCTTGACAAGTGTTTGAATGTTATTGATCCTGACCTAGTATTGATTTCTCAGAGTCATTGGACTTTGATCACTGGGATGTGAATTGGGTCCTGATCCGTGGGTTGGCCCCTCTTGAGCTCTCATCGGTATCAATCATCAATTTTCAACTCAACAAAAATTGCACCAAACAAGCCTAATGACAACAGACAAAAATAAATTCATATCAATAACAATAATTATATATTTCGTATCTTATATTATGTTTATCATATTACTTATTAACAAAATATTAATATGAACACTATCAAAACAATACTGAATTAAATTGGCACAATATATATATATATATAATAAAATAGAATAGTAATAATAAATTATTATTGTAATATAACTCTATCAATAATGAATTATGTTTAGGTGATTGTTATTGGTAATTTTAGGTTAACCCCAATGAATTGGTTAAATAATAAAGATTTGATAACAAATTTAAAATATGAAATTTGAGTCATTTTAAAAATTTATTCGTTGTTAATTTTAAGATGTTGGTAATGTAAAAGGAGTCAAATAATCAGTTATAATATAAAATTGGTAATTTTAGGGGGCAGATGATGGTGCTATCATTTCGATCTTATCATCTAAAGTTTTTCCAGTCATTTGCTATTATGATTGAGCCTTTGATGCTGATCTTAGGGATATCTTGTTTGATCTATGGATGTACATGGCCGGCCTATATGATTGTTTTAAATTATTGAAATTGTTAGAGAAATTGGGAAGCGAGGAAATTTGATGCAAATTAATGATATATTTTTTTAAAAAATAAAATTACAAAAACATGAAATTTACCATTGTTTTTTCATTTTCTTATGCAAACAACCCTAGTAGTTTCCTTTGCCACTTCCTCCACCCTCTATTATCTAGCCCCGACTCCCTCACTTACCCTTGACACTTCTTCTACACTTTTTTTTTTCTCATTATCGTCATCTCATTCCATTTCAATTGACAATAATGGCCTAAGATATTTTAAGACCTTCGAGTAAATATTAAAATGAGACTTTATTTTATTAAGTTTTTAAAAAATTAAACTTCTAGCAATATTTTTTTTTAAAGATTTTTATTGATCTAATGATGGACTCACCTCTGCCACCAATCACTGCCGTTCACCTACTTATTCCTGTTACTCCATTCCCACCGAACCTACGCACTAAGCTTTGTTTTGGGATATGGGTTAGCTTTTCGATTTTTTGACTATTTTAGCCTAGGATTAAAAAATCTCATTTGAAATGGACTTTTTAACTTTTATGAAAGAAAAAATTAAATGAATATGATTTGAATCTGACTTTTTATCTTATTTGACTAAAAAATATTTTTTGGGCAAGTAAGCTAAAAAATATTTTATCTTTTTGTAATTAAAATAACCCAAACTCAACCCAAACTTTCATGCCAAACGAATCCTAATTGAGCCAAACTCTAACCACTAGAAGTCCCTTCCCATAGCCACCCCACACCTCCTCTCCCCCACTATATGGACATCAAATGCAATACATTATTCTTGCTAGCCTATATAAAGCCTCAACCAAAATTAATTAAAGGTCCAATAAATTTACCCCAAACAGAGCCCAAAGACTAAACAACCAAAGTCTAGGTCCAAATGTCTTCAAACTGGGTTGGGCTTCGTGCCGAGAGATCAGCCCAACAAATATATAAATTAACGCCGTTATACCCTCGACGTCAGGATCACCACCGAAGCACCAGAAATTTATTTAAAATACAAATTGTTCCTATAATTTAAAAAATTATATTTTATCCCTTCAAATCTAATAACATAACAAATGACTTCTTTTATTAATAAATTATTAAATCAATTAATAATTTTTAATATTATCAAAAAAATATTTCAATTAACAATTCAAATAATTTTATTGTTGTATAATAGAATAGAGTTAGGCATTTTGTTTTTTTTATTAATTCTATTAAATAAAAAATTTTAGACGATGAGATATTTGTAATTTTTAAAACTATAGGGGTCAATTTTCATTTTAAGAAAATTTCAACAAGTGTATTTATACAATTCAAATAATTTTATTGTTGTATAATAGAGTAGAGTTAGGCATTTTCTTTTTTTTTATTAATTCTATTAAATAAAAAATTTTAGATTTTTTTATTAATTCTATTAAATAAAAAATTTTAGACGATGAGATATTTGTAATTTTTAAAACTATAGGGGTCAATTTTCATTTTAAGAAAATTTCAACAAGTGTATTTATAATTTACTCTAAAAAAATTATAGGAAAATTACAAAAAATAATAATTAGGATTTGATTCTTGTAACAAATTAAACTCTGAAATTTTAATTTTATTGATCTAAATATTAAGATTTTCATTTATTTTCAATTCAAATCATTTGCATATTTGTATTTAGTAAAATCAACAGAAAAAATAATATTTTAATCATTAAGCTCAATGTAAGTATACATAAAATGACTAAACTACTATTTTTCTATCAATTTTACTTAACAAAAATGAACGAATGATTTAAATTGGAAATAGAGTAAATTAAAAATTAAAATTTTAAATTGATAAAATTAAAAAATTTAGATTTATTTTATTACCATGATCAAGTTTCTTTTTTTTTTTTTTTTTTTTTTTTTTTATAAGAGTATTCAATCCATAAATTCAATTTTGGATTTTCCATGCCCAAAGGTTCATACTCTTTGTCCATAAGGATAAGTTCCTGCAAACTGACTAAAGTACCCATCTATATATATACCAACCAAACCTTACCTCTCTAAAATGAAACTATCTCTATCCCTCTCTCTCTCTCTCTCTCTCTCTCATCTAAACCTTAAGGTTGCGTCGCTTCCGTTATCGCTGTCACCACCTCCTCTCCGCCACCAGCACCCCCACTGTTGTCGTTCGGCATGTCGTCATCACCATCAACCTCAATGACAAAAGCGCATTCATCATGGCCTTGACAGCGCTGTCATCTTCTTTCACACCATGATTTGACTCATATTCCACAACCGTCGCCGTCTTGAGCTACTTCCACATTCCAGTACCATTGCCGTCTTCTTCTAAACAGAAGGCGTTGCCACTTTGTTCTCTGGCGTCTATGCCACCACCCTCCGGCAGACTTTATGTTTGTTTTTTTTCCTTTTTTTTTCTCTCTCTCTCTCTCTATATGTGTGTGTGTGTGCGCGCGCGTGTATGTATGTATGTATGTATGTATGTATGTATATCTTGTGTGACGGAGGAAGAAGAAAAGAATAAAAGTATTTATACTATATATATTTTTTTATTCTTGATGATGAAACAAATTACAACACATTAATTATTATTTGTTCTTCTGCGATATGATGATAATACAGTATTGATTCTTTTGTAACCAGATGAATCCGTATACATTCATCAGTTCCAAAACTAAATTTTTGGTTATTAATGTTATCTGTAACATTTATATGCTCATGCATGTCTCTAAATTCCAAGTCACGTATTCTTATTTCTGTAGAACTCATATAACAAATGGATTTCATGTTTTTTCAAAATTTAAATGCAAAATCTTGTATGACAATGTCTCAATTTTTAGAGTAATGCTACGTATCATGAAATAAATATCATGAAAAACTTCATGAAACTAATCTAAGGGTGAATGCATAACATACAATAAAGCACTACAAACACTATAATCTAATCCAAGGGTAGAGAATCTTCATGAAAACTTTTCATGACATTGTTTTCATGATAGCTAGCATTATTGCAATTTTTATGATTTCTTTTGAGTTATATTTCATAGCAAGTTTACACGTGTGTATACATAATCAGTATCATAAACGTTTCGGATGATTCTTGTATGTGCAATGGATAATTCCAACAGATTAAAAAACAAGTTTGAAAAATTTTAAATAGAGAGATCATCTTTTTTTTAAAAAAAAAATAGATAGAGAAAGAACTCATAGATTTTAAATAGATAGAGAGAAACACAAGGACATATTTTAAACAAATAGAGAGAATCTCATGATTTTGAATATATAGGAAACAAAATTCAACAGATAAGCAAAAAATTTGAAAAGATAGACAAAAAATTTAAATAGATAAAAAATAATTTAAAGAAATATATATAGATTGGGATAGATAATCAATGAAAAATCAATTAAAAAAAAATTAACAAATAAATTAAGTAGCAAAATTAAAAACAAAATATTCTTCAAAACAAATTAAAAAATTTCTTACTAAATTCCTTCACAAAAAATATATCTCTTATTAACAAAAAAAAATAATAATAATAATAATAACCGAATCTAATACCTTGTCATTTCCTCATGTTGGGGTTTTCAACCATTTTTCTTTTTCCTTTTTATAATGTAATAATTTTCCCAACAAAAATATCTTGACAGACGTGTGCGAAAACGAACTGACGCTCGGTCGCTCGCATCGTTCTCGCCTTTGTTCTCTATTGACTCCGTCTTCCAACCCATTCACATCACTCGATTTCTCCACATAATCTCCATCAAACCTCTCCAAACACCACCTTCCTTTCAAAACCCTAGTTTTCTCTCCCCACCAAATCCAATATTTTCCCCTTTTTTTTTGCCAAATACATTTCAATCCTCTGATTTCAAATTTCTTCGCTTCCCAAACCCTGAAATTCCGAAGAATTTGTTCGGTTTCATGGCCTCAATTGATCGAAATTTGTTGATTTTCAGATTTTCTCCAGTTAATTTGCAGTCGGTGGCATAATTTGAAGATTTCGCTGGATTTTGACTGCAATTGGGTATCGAATTTCGAATTCATACTGTTTTTGATCGTATGATGGGTTTCAATGATGTGCTTCTTTCAAATCTCTGATATTCGTCAGGTAATTTGGGTTCGATACGTAAAATTCTTCCATTTTTTCAACTTTTGATTGCGATTTTGTATCGAATTTTGGGGTTTGATGGATAATAAAGACGAGGGTTTGTCGATGGCGATGTTTAAGAAGCCGAATTTGAATATGTACCGACTCATGAACGGTCCTTCGTTGCAACCTTCGGGTTGGTTCGAGATCCGATTGTTCTACGTCCGAATCGCCCCATGCGCTGTGGAAACCGTTCCTGACCACCTCACGCTTCGCCATCTTCGCCGAGAAATTGGGGTTTCTCTAGAAATCAATGGCACTCGCATACCGTCCTCGGAAACGACATCGTTGTCTCTCCGTCGCGATCGGCTTGATAAGGAATCGTTGGAGGTAACATATGTGAGTACTGACTGTGTTAAGGTTTCAGGGGCTGTTGAATTTGAGGTTTATGAGAAGGAGGATATGATGTTGTGTGGGTCTTTGGAGAGAATGGAGGCTGTTTGGAGTAATGGAAATGTGGGTTTGGATAATGATTCCAAAACCGGGTGGGGTATGGATTGCTACATGTCTGCATCAATTGGGAGCGGGGGTTCGGCATTTTTTCAGCCGAAATTTGGGATTTCAGCTCCGTTGTTCGAGGTCTATATTGCGGGTTGTTGTTCGGGTGTGCCTGTGATTTTAACAAAGACAATTCAAATTAGTCCGAGGCGGAAACTTGCCAGACATAACACACTCGATGCTATTCCAGAGGATGCAGAGATTGGGAAGGAGCAAAAGATCAATAATGGTTTGGTGAGGCAGCGGAAAGTGCAGGTACTGTTATGGTGTCAATGTGTTCTGATACAAATTTCTTGATACATGTTTTAGTTATTTTGTTAATTGTCTGAATATGAATTCCTATGTTACATTTGTTGAATTTAACTTTTTTATCCCCAAAAAAAATATATATATTTGTTGAATTTAACTTGTTTGCATTTTGCAAATATCACTAGCTGTTTTGTGGTAAATTGATCGGCTGTTTTCTGTTCAATTATGCATTTGAATTTTTTTTAGGTACCATTAGAAAAATTCAATTCTTAGTGTAATTTGTAGTTTGCGCAAATTGTGGTGGTAATAAAAGAAACTCAGGCCTCATTTGGGAACAGGGTTTTTTAGTAACTTTTTGACTAAAATACGATGTAAAAAAAACTAGTATGTTTGTGATGACTTTTTGGCTTTTTACGAAAAGATGTGCAAAAAGTAGAGAAAAAATAGAATCTTTGACTTTTTGGTATATGTGATTGGCTTTTTGACTTATTTAGTAACTTTTTGACTTTTTGATTAAACCGGTCGCTTCCTAAACGAGGCCTCACCCCTCTCAAATAAATACATAAGTTAATGTAATTTTCAGGAGAATATATATGTAATTGTAGCATATGGAATGCTTGAGAGTTTGATTGTTTATCAATCCTCTGTAGGGTTGGGAAAGGCATGCATACAATTGTGCAAAACTGTATTTCTTTCATATTTCTTTGGTGAAGTAGAATTTGCTTCTTTATCTGTTCTTGTACTAAAATGTTTTAGTAAAAAATGTATAGAACTTGCACTAAAAAGTTTTAATATTAACCTTTTGAGGATAGGGATTTCTCAAGGAATTGTATTTTTGCCCCTAAAGATGGTTCATTTGGTAATGACTCATTTTTCAGAGAGACCTACATATGTTTATGATTTATGTTGACGAGTGTTGGCATTAATTCAATCTCATTGAGTTAAAATTCTTAGATGAAGATGAGATTCTCTATCTTAATAAATGTTTTTCTGTTAAGTGAGAAACTTTGTAACTAGGGATGCAATGTCATACATTTGCAACTTGATCATAGGTCACACAAATTTTGCTCCATTTGAACATGTTAATCAGTATGCTTCCTAATTATTATCGCTAACTTTTAACATTAAACCACTTACTTGAAGGAAGATCCTAGTTGTCAATACAGGTCACGCTATGAAAATTTGGTGGTAGTGGTGGTGGAAGACTATTGATGCTTTATATATAGAGAATTTGTTATGAACTTTTATTATTTGCTTGGTTGAGGGAATTTTTAAAGAGAAAATTAAAGCTTTCATGTGGTGCATATTGATTTTTTGTTTTGTTTTGTTTTGTTTTGTTTTGGGTTCATGGTGCGTGAGATCTAGAAAAGGGTTCAACACGATACATTGGTGTGATTATTGGCATGCAATGGAAAGTAACCATGTGTGAGGTCTTGTGAATGACAATAATAAGCCATTAAGAGCGGGCTTTCAACTTTAAGTTTCTGTTGGTTTGCATTGGCTTTTGAATTGATGGGCACATTAAGGAAGAGGGCTTATTTATTTATTTTTTTTGCTGTGTGTGTGTGTGTGTGTGCACGCGAGTGTGGGTGCTTGTTGGTGACGGTTTATCTGACAAATTTGTGAGTAATATCTAGTCAGATTTCCACTTACATCCGTTGAGGCTTGCAAATTGGGCATTGAGCCACCACATGTTTCAAATATACAAAATGACCTTCTTTCAATCAATGGTGGTTAATTGATGCCAAGTGGGAAATTTTTGTCATGGTTTTTAGTAATGTTCTTTCTTTTCTTGTCAATCTAATTGAACCTTTACCATTACCTTTCAACACCAAATCACCAGAATTGCCATTATCCTATTGCTGAAGCACCATGACTTTTGGAAACTATAAGGATCTGAGTCCTCTATAGTCCATATGAATGGAATGGCCACATGGGCTCATTCTGCGAGATTGAGTGTTACTTGATAAAACCTTCTATATCCCACTCTAAATAATTTCTTTTTTATGTTTCTTTAATAGAAGTTTCCCGTTGTATTGTATATTTTTTTCCTTCTCTTTTAAATGTTTTCCAACCTTGTGTTGGTAGCTATATCCATTTGGAGTTGCTTGCTTATTTACTTTGAACTGTTCTTTATGGACTGTGTGCACAGATCACAGAGGCAGAAGTTGAAGATTATGAGTCAGATGGAAAAATTGGAAGCAACTACTATTCAGAAGACACATATGCTGGCGAGGATGGTGAGCTCTCGTGGTTCAACGCTGGCGTTAGAGTTGGGGTTGGAATTGGCCTTGGGATGTGCCTCGGTGTTGGAATTGGTGTTGGACTGATGATGCGCTCTTATCAAGCAACCACCAGGACCTTTAGGAGGAGATTTTTCTGAATTCGGGTCATTTTCATGGGAGACCAGTGATTCTGGAATAACAAAGAGATGAAAAGCAAAAATTTTGAGATTATTTTGAGAATGAGTTAAAGGTTCGAAGATGGCAGTGGGAGAAGTAAGAAAGGTGTGGTTCAGAATTTTACGGATGAGCTTTTGTACTTGGGCGGAGGCTGCATAGTATTTAGGTATACTTGGTATATAGTTGTAATCAACGCTACTGATACAATGGAAAGTGCAATATAGCATTGATAACAATTATGTATTAAGGAAACCTAAAGATGTGGTTCATTGGTTTAAGGGTGAGCCTTTTGTTGTTGTATAGTATTTAGGTTTATTCGGTATATAGCTGTTATCAATGCTACTGCACTTTCCATTGTATTCTTGTGGTGAACTAGCATGACTTCAATATGAAGGGAAGTGCAATGGCACTGTTGTATACCAAGTAAACCAAAATACTAAGAAAAACGTGGTTCAGTGTTTTAAGTGTTAGCTTTTGTACTTTGGCCGAGGCTGTATAGTGTTTAGGTTTACTTGGTATATATAGTTGTTATCAACAGGACTAGCATGACCACAATACGTGGCGCGAGCTTCAACTGAAATTCCAAGGGGATATATAGATGCTTTAATCCTTGGACCAGCATATGACCTTGAATCGTGGAGGAATGCATGTACGTGGATGTAGGAGATCCGGCATTGTATCTACTCTTTTCATCTTTTGTAGAGATTTGGCATCATCTGAAGTTTTGTGCAAGGGTGTTTTGGTTATTATGGTAGGACAACATGTAACTATTTTTTTTTTACCTGTAACAATTTTGATGATTTGTCTTTCTTCAATTCAATTTGGTACTTGCAATAAATTGGCATTGTGTAATCTGAAGATCATTTGTAGAGTTTGTTTGATGTTCAATTTCTTCAATGCCTTGATGATTATGGATTGATCAGTGTTTCTGGAAAGCTCTTAAGAATGTGTCTTCTGTGTTGACTGGGATTAGGTCATTGAAACGAGACCACTAGGTTGAAGTTTTTGTTGCATGTTTTCTCAGGCTCCAAAGCAGCAATAAATAGTATTATATGTTTATAATTTTATAAAATAATTTTAAAATTATAAATAAAAGTTTGTTGGTATTTATTTTTATTTTGGAAACATTGTAAATAGCTGGAGAAATTGCAAATCATGTGATAGTGAAAAAATATACATTTTTATAGTGATTTAAATTTTTTATGTGCATGCTGCAAGTTTTTTTTTTTTTTTTTGAGTCGAAATTGTACAAAAAAAATTTCATTTATGTATAATTATTTTTTCACTTTATCATTAATTTACAATCTCTTACATAGTTTACAAAGTTTATTAAAACTTTGTAATAAATTTTTTTTTTTTTGGTCACATGGTATGCACAACTAGGATATACACAAGTAGGGTTAATTGTTACTAAAGAAAAAGAAAATAGACACCACAAATGGTATCAAATTATTTTCTATAGAATTTAAATTCACAAATCTTACATTACAAAGTGGTGTTTGCATAATTATTATGTTGAATGCCTTGGTTGAAGAGATATATATATATATATTAAAAAAGTAAATGCAATGTGATATCTTTTACATTCTCATATAAATATAAATTAAGCAAATCAACATAAACAAATATATTTTAGTGTGGCTTTGATCAGTCCAATTGGGTCTGTGGAAGTTTACTACGGGTCCTGTTTTGATAACCCGAACCATTTAATGTGTAGAAATCATCGAGTACTATATGTCTGTAAAAAACTACATTGATCGGATATCGATAACTATGTGAAAAAACAGTTTTTTATCAACCGTTAATTGTTTCACCGTCCATTTTTTTTATACAAAACTGATTGGATCACATAACTATTGATATCAGATCAACGTGATTTTTATAGGCATGTAATACTCAACGAGTTCTACACATTGAACGGTTCGAATTATCAAAACGGGCCCAATGAATAGAACTGGACGGTTTTAATCTTGATCTCAACTTGAGACAAGCTGGACCATATATTTTTTATGCAAACAATTGTAATATTCCTAACAATATTAACTCTGTTGGCAGTTTCGGATCAATTGAACTAATGCGAATAATTTAAGGATTCAAGAAACAAATGACACAATTATAATTGTTTGAGGGGGGAAAAGTGAATCTTTCCCGAAAACAAAGGGAAAAAACAGACAATTTTATAAAATAATGGGACATAACAGCAATTAACGAAATTACAAGGACCATTGAGAGACATGGAGAGAGACCTAGGGTCTGAAGTCTGAAAACCAAAGACACTGCAACCTCCTTCCCTGAGCACTGTGAAGAAGAAACAACAACTCATCAATCATCATCAACAACCTAAGAGAATATGCTTCTTCTATAATCACATATACATCATCATCTTCAAAGGAACAAGTATGATGATGAATGTGGTAGGAGAGAGAGACTCGATCAACACCACCACCACAACAACCCCCATTTCCAGATCTCCGGCCACCATGCCCCGCCACAGCTCCGCCGCACCTCCACCTCTCCCTCTGGTTGTAACTCTCAACTGCATCGAAGACACCGGCCTCGAACAAGACTGCCTCGCCGGCATCGCCGTCGTCGAACACGTCCCCCTCAGCCGTCTCGCGGAAGCGAAGATCGAGTCCGCCGCCGCCGTCCTCCTCCACTGCCTCGCCTTCCTCCCACGCGCCGCCCAGCGCCGCCTCCGCCCCTGGCAGCTCGTCCTCTGCCTCGGCTCCTCTGACCGCTCCGTTGATTCCGCCCTAGCCGCCGACCTAGGGCTCCGCCGCCTCGTCCACGTCGATGTGTCTCGTGCTGAGGAGGTCGCTGACACTGTTATGGCTCTCTTCCTCGGTCTCCTCCGCCGTACTCATCTTCTCTCTCGCCATGCCCTCTCTGCCTCGGGATGGCTCGGTTCGGTTCAACCGCTGTGCCGTGGAATGCGGCGTTGCCGTGGGCTTGTTTTAGGGATCATTGGTAGATCTGCTTCGGCGAGGTCTTTGGCTACTCGGAGGGCTCCGCCGCCTCGTCCACGTCGATGTCTCTCGTGCTGAGGAGGTCGCTGACACTGTTATGGCTCTCTTTCTCGGTCTCCTCCGCCGTACTCATCTTCTCTCTCGCCATGCCCTCTCTGCCTCGGGATGGCTCGGTTCGGTTCAACCGCTGTGCCGTGGAATGCGGCGTTGCCGTGGGCTTGTTTTAGGGATCATTGGTAGATCTGCTTCGGCGAGGTCTTTGGCTACTCGGAGTTTGGCATTCAAGATGACTGTGCTCTACTTCGATGTTCACGAGGTAACAATTTCAGTTGTATCTAATGTTACATTCAGTCAATTTCATGTTTGGAACCATACACAAAGATGTAGTGTTACAATCCTCCCATTGCAAAATAATTCACTGATTCATTGTTTTTAAATTGTGATCTTTGATGTGTTGAGCATCTCAAACACATGATCAAAATTTTACTTAAATTTGAGTAAAAGATTTATTTGATATCAAACACTGTAATTTGAGTAAATGCTTCACTAAAGGCATGGTGGTAGTGGTAAATTTCAGATTCACAAAATAGCCTTGAAATTGGGTTGGGTAAAAAATTGAGTAAAACTCAATGTAGTATAAGTTTGGGTCAGGAAGCGGAGAGTGTTTTTGCCCCAAATTATTGAGCTAAGTATGTTGTTTCTTAGCTTAAAAAAATGCATTTTGTTGAATTTGGCTGACATGCCAACTTTGGTTATAGCTGAATAAAACTCGCAACAAGAAACAGAGCTCCGGAGTTGGGCTATTGAAGTTGTTAAAATTATTGTCTCTAAACATTTGGAACTAAGAATGAGTTTTCATTTGAGAACATGAAGTTTATGAATATTCTGAAATTTTAGAGGATTTTGAGCAACATGACACGTGGATAAGAATCTTGTCCTTGCATGGACTGTCTTTAATAGAGAGTAGACTTTAAGCTTCATTGAAGTGTTATATTAACATTTGTAAATGTATTACCTACTTTGAATGTGTTATTTGGAAATTGGCCATTATCTCCTTTTTAGTCTTTGAATGTGTTGTTAGTGTCATGTATTGCATATTTGTCCTCTAGTATATGACTTGTTCTAACTGATTTTTCCTTGATAGGGAAAAGGAAAGTTGAGTCGATCCTCAATGACATTCCCTCCTGCTGCCCGGAGAATGGATACCCTTAATGATTTACTTGCTGCAAGTGACCTTATTTCTCTCCACTGTGCTTTGACAAATGAAACAGTTCAAATTATTAATGCAGATTGCTTGCAGCATATTAAGCCTGGTACTTCCTTCAATTTTTGTTGCATTTGGGACATATATATATATATATATACATATTAAATCTTGGAATTCCTCTTACTTGGACTTATAGAGGAGTGTGTTGATTTGTGCAGGGGCATTTCTCGTGAATACAGGTAGCAGCCAGCTGGTGGATGATTGTGCCGTAAAGCAGCTTCTGATTGATGGTACCCTTGCAGGTTGTGCTGTTGATGGTGCTGAAGGGCCCCAATGGATGGAAGCATGGGTATGATGTGATGAGTAGTCTTAGGGTATGATGTGATGAGTAGTCTTAGGGTATGAATATATAACATGATCAAATGCTTGTTGAGTATATGTTGTTTTCTGGACTGATTTTTGTTTAACACTACTATCTCATGTACTTTTTGTTTTGTTTTTTTTCTTGTCATATGCTCAAATTTTAAGGGACAGAGTGATTGTACTAAAAATGAAATAGGATATGAAAATTACATTGTGGTTTTATGCTAGATTGATAGAAACACTTTGTGAAGAGAAGAAAGACCTCCACATGGTTGGATCTGAAAAGAGAGAATGTTTTGGGTGTTAGAAGGAAAATGTATAACCAATTCAATTTATGATGTGATTTTGAACATGTATCCTTAACTATAATTCTGTAATAGTGTGAGAACAATTTGAAGAGAAACATGCTGATTTCCAACCACAATATGCTAACTCAATCATGGTTATTAGAATCTTGATCCGGATCGTAGGATTTTACGATTCTATGATCTCAGTTGGGCTAAACGATCCGGATCACACTAAGATCTTAAATTTAGTAAAATCTTAAAGTCATTATGATTCTAGTCATAAAATGATGTAGAATCGCATACCATCTCGATTCCACTTCGATCCCGATCCTACCAATTTTTTTTATTGCTATTTATTTCTTACATATATGTGGATATCTATATAAAAAATTTGACTATAAATTCATTTTTCATATGTCTTATCTAATTTATGTTAACATAGGACATACATTATATCAAATTTATCAATTTTCTTTAATCTTTTTAAAATTATGTAACAAAGATTATCATTATCGATAATTTTTCATTTTATTTTGCATTAAAAGTAGGATCTTACTATTCTTGATCTGATTCTACAATCCGATCCATTAGTCCCTCCCAACGATCCTACTTGGGAACCTGATTTTAGCAACCTTGAACTCAGTGGCTCAAGATTAGACCCTTACCATTGTGCATTGTTATAGATGAAATATAAGGCATATTTGTGAAGAGGGTCCACATAGTACATGTATGTGAGGATGCAGATTTGGTATAAAGATTTTGGGTTAAGCGAGACAAATATATTTTCCATAGAAAAAAGACAAGATTAGGGGGGGCAACTGACAATGCTACTGGCCAAGTTGCATTTTACCAACCAATATTAGAAAAAGGTGAAGCTTTGTGGTTTTCTTTCATTTCTCATATCTCATTAATGTCTACGATCCCAGTGATGCAAAATTTAAATTCCATGTTGTATTAGCATTTCTTGCCTTTTCTTTTATAAATAAAAGCAGCCCAGAAAGGTGAAAATGGGTCATGCAATCCTCTAAGTTGTACATGTTTATATAAAATTTATAAATAAAGGTCGTCAATGTTTCTATGAGAGTGTATATCTATTGGTGTTCAAACGAATTTATCATATCAATTCTTGCTTCAGGTAAGGGAGATGCCCAATGTATTGATACTTCCACGCAGTGCAGATTATAGTGAAGAAGTGTGGATGGAGATAAGGGAGAAAACTATTTCCATATTGCAGACATTCTTCTTGGATGGCGGCGTTCCAGAGAATGCTGTCTCAGATGAGGAGGAAGAGGAACGTGAGATAGGCTATGAAAATGAAGAAGGTGATAAACAAGAAAATAAAAGTGCCCTACAGGGTTCTGTTGGTGAGCAATTGACAGGTGATATTCATGTAACTCCAGAAAGCTCCCAGAAAAATAGCATAAATGCATCAAAGGAGTCTCCTGGTCATCATCAGGGTTCAGCTTTGTCTCAAAGTACTTCTGCTCGATCTGAAGGAAAGCGTAGCAGGTCAGGTAAGAAGGCTAAAAAGAGGCATGCCCGCCAAAAATCCCTGCAGAAATCAGATGAAACTTCTGCATTAGAGAAAGAGAGTACTTCACATCGAGATGATGATACTGCAATGAGTGGCACAGATCAAGTGTTGAGTTCCAGTTCACGGTTTGCTTCCCCTGAAGATTTGAGAAGTACAAAAGCACCAATTGAATCAATACAAGAATCATCTTCTGAGCAGATTCTAAAGTCAAGCATGAGCCTGAGCAGAAAGTCTGGTGAACTGCTGAAGGATGGTTATGTTATAGCCTTGCATACAAGAGATCGACTTGCCCTTCATGTTTCTAGGCAAAGAGTCCAAGGCGGCGGTTGGTTCCTAGACACAATGTCAAATGTAACAAAAAGAGATCCAGCAACGCAGTTCCTCGTTGTTTTTAGAAGCAAGGTTTGTGGAGAGGAATGTGTTTCATTATATGTGGCAGGCAGCATTTCAATTTTGTGAGTTATTGGTCTGTTTAACTGGTCGACTGTTTCAATTCAATTTCTGCAGGACATAATTGGTTTGCGATCTTTTACCGCTGGTGGAAAGTTGTTGCAGGTATTTTTCTCTCTTACAAATTCTAGTTTATAGATGAGATGCTTGTCAATGCTGTCTTTAAGTGCAATTTCATTTCAATATAAAAGATGCAAGTGGCAATTTTTTAGTTTTTTGCATTGTCTATTTATTGATTTATTCGTTTTGGTTGAAGACTGGTTGTTTTGCAACACAGTTCTTGAGCACATTTTTGTGTGAAATTTGAGAGTTGGATGAATGAATTCTGATTCCTAATATCTATTCATTAGTTGTTTTTTTTCCCTCTTCTTGAGTATAAGAGATAAATACCATCTAAGAATACACTAAGAGCCTATTGACTATAGAATTTGAACTCCTTGAATTTGAGGAAGAACAGAGAGATAAAGGATTTGATCCTTTTTCAATCCCGCAAGATTTATAAATTTTCTTGAAGGCATCTGCTTTGGCAGCATGCCAGCATTCACATTCACACAAGATTCTGGTGACAAGTGTCTTGTAAATCCTTATTTCAATCTATTGACACTAGCTTAACCTCTCTGCTACATATTTCCTCTAACTTGATCTGAACTTCTGGAATGCCACCTGTGGTGATGGCTTTGGCCTGGGCAGTGATCCATGTGATGTTTTTAACTTTTTTGAACGCTTAGAGAAGGAGGTTCTACATTTTGTTGCCTCTTAATATTTGTCTTGTGCAGGTGGGATGGGAAGTCTATTATTGATCATCCCTATTTTGCATTTGCACCATGACCTATGCTTTTGGTATAGCTTACAATTGAGCAAACATCACCGAGTAGGTGTGCTTCATGACACACATGGTTCCACTGGGAGTGGATGTTCCAGGATTTGTAGAAGGGGTGGAGTGCTTTGAGACATAATACCTTTGCAACATTATGGTGCGTTTAGGTGGAAAAAGGGAATGGATTTTTTTAGGATAAGGGTAGAAAAGGCAGTTCTTATTTATTTTATTTGTTTTAGAGAAGGGTTCCTATTTTTTGATTAGTGATCTCAAGTGACAAAAGATCCTTTGTCCATTCATGACATGCCAGAGTTCCAGAAATCAAGCACGACTTTACATCATTAACCTTGTAAATTTTGACCGACTTTATTGGGCATTAATTGTTGTTGATCTTGTAGGACACTTACTTATCACATACCCAGGCACACACACATACACACACACACAAAATAAATAAAGAAAGAAAGAAAGAAAGAAAGAAAGTTGAAGCATGCTTCCTGAATCAGGAAGCTCTTTATGTTCTATCCTATGAGCTTGTAGTGTGACTATAGTTTGTATGCCATAAAAGTTAAAAGTTGCTCGAGTTCATAATTGAACTTCCTTTAAGAATGAGATACAATGATTATAAAATTTATTTGGTTCTTTCAGAAATAATTAAATTGGGTGACGTTACTTAAGTTATCAGTTTACATTCTATTTACTGTTGCAGATAAATAGAAGAATGGAATTTGTATTTGCTAGTCACAGCTTTGATGTCTGGGAGAGTTGGACATTTGAAGGTTCTTTGGAGGATTGTAGATTGGTCAATTGTAGAAATCCATTGGTAAGTTTCTTCTCTAACTCCATCAGATTCCTTATTATAGCATAGGATTTGTAGGGCTCTTGATATGTAAATAAGTATGCAAGTCTATGTTACTTTTAACGGCTTTCTGTGTGCACCCATCTATACATATCCATGTGTATTTATATTGTCTTGGAGCTGTATTGGTCATTGAAAACGGCCAACTAGATGTTGTCACAATAACTCCGGGAGAGAGAGATCACATCACATGGCGGTGTATCACATCACAATGTCAAGATAGTGACATGCATCATGGCTCAAGTTCAGAAGATAAGGGGTGCATGCATCACTTTATTTTTCATATTTTTTTTAATTAAAAAAAAAAAAGAATCTTAAATGAAAACCTAAGTTAGAAGCCTCACTTCGCACCTGCTGTTTTCTAGACCCTTCTTGATGTAGTTTGGTTTTCAAGTTGCCTGCAAATGCCTGAAATTAGCGTAATATAATTTGGAATATGCAAAATTTTAATGTTCTGCTCTTGTATTACATAAATGAATTTCGTTGAGCTGTATATGTGAAAAACGAAAACCCTGTCCAAATTTTTGAGCTCTCTACCTCTCTCTCTCTCTCTCTAAAAAAGTTGCTCCTTTGTGATGCGGACTGCAGGCTGTTTTGGATGTACAAGTTGAAATTCTTGCCGCTGTAGGCGAAGAGGATGGAATTACTCGCTGGCTTGATTAGGTTGCGGACAATTTGAGGGTTGGTTAAGCAACCTAATGTATACCTGTTTGTTTCTTCACCTTGAGGTTTGTAATATTTCAAGAGAGATTGTAACTTGTAAAGCGTTCGATTTTTACAGTGAGTTGAGGATTGTACTATGTTTTATGTTGTGGGTAATTCATGTCACGACGAAACTGATTTTTTTTCTTTTAATTTTTTTTGGGGGTTATTTATTAGAGGTTTTTGGTGGTTTCGAACCATTTGACTGCTTCTCTCTCTCTCTCGATATCGATTGTAATGGAGTTAAGAGTATCTCTTCTGTGGGATGACAAGCTAATTGCTCGTATACTATCCCCTCCTTATAGTGATTCGTGTTTTGCAGCAGTTGAATTTTCATGTTTTTGTGTGTGGGATGATACAATTGAGACCTGGGATTAAGGCTGTGAACCAGCCGACTCAAGAGTAGTAATTTATTCAATCTTGGCTTAACTTTGTTTGGTTTTGTTTTCGGAATATGTTTTTTGAAAAATACTAAAAATTAGTTTGAAATAAATATCAAAAATATATTTTTGAGTTTTTACAGACTATATTTGCACAATAAACTAAAAGAACATGAAAATGATGGAGTGTTTTTAAAATTTTATTATATTTTAAAGCAAATTAGATTATGTTTTTGACAAAAATAAATTTTGAAAACGAAATCAAATAGAGTGATGCAATAGTTATTTGACTTTTTGTATTATATACAAAATTCTGAATAATAGATTGTTTAAACATAGATTTAACCCGTTTGGGGATTTATCTTTTTAGCCAATTAGTTAAAAAGTCAACAACTCGTACAAAAAAATCAAAGATTCTCTTTTCTCTTTACTTTTTGCACATCTTTTCGTAATTAGTCAAAAAGTCATCTCAAACATATAAGTTTTTTTTACCTACCTTTTAGTCAAATAGTCAAAAAGTTACTAAATTATCCTGTTCCCAAACAAGGCTTAAATATATTTGAAAATATGTTCAAATATAATTTATTTATTTAACGAATTAATCTGAAATAATTTTTTAATAAACTGAATATGAGGCGAATTTAAATAACAATAATGATTTAGACCACTAAAAAGAACACCACTAATAGCATTAATGCATTGGGAATGATAAAAAAAAGAAAAAAAGAAAAAAAAAGAAACAAGGCATAAAAAGTGGACAAAGTCCACTGCCACATCATTAATGCTCCTTTAATGCTCCATTTCTAGTGCTCCCAAACATTTTTTTTTAAATAACGTAACTCGGTTTCACAATGTCTTTTAACACAGGTTTCACAAATGTCAAATGTGATTGACAAAGGTATACCTACTAGCACTAGTACTAGATCTAGTTTAGCAGGGCCACCTCCGCACTTTAAAACAAAGTTTGGCATGATTGAAAAAAGATAAAAAGTCAAAAAGTTACTATTTAAATCACATCATCTTATTTAAGTAATATCACCTCTTTAACACATCACTTCAAACTCAACCCAAATCCAACTCATATTTCATAAAAAATCAAAAAGTATATTTATTTAATCTTTCCCAACTAGGCCTAGGTAGGTGAAACTATAATGGTTTAGTCAAAAAGAGAAATGTTAGAGTTCTTGCTCGTTTGGTTAAGATTTTGAAACTAAAAATAAAATAAAATAAATTATATAAATTAATAAGATAAAGTGGATGTTTGGAAAGTTATTATTTTAATAGATTATTTTAATTTTTAGCTATTTTAGGAGGTTAAAATTTTTATATTTGGAAAGATAATTAAATTTTTTTATAATTGGATGCAGTGGCGGAGCCAGAAAATTAAATTAGAATTGGTACTTATTAATTACGATATCGAAAATTTTTACAAAAATATTTCAACAAGTTTTTACAATTGATTTCGAGAAATATCAAAAAAATAATATTATTTATAACTAGTGTATCATGAACAATATAAAAAAAATATATGGATATAAGTATTAAAATAAATTATATAGGGTTCATTTGGAAAGTGGGTTAACTTTTTGAATTTTTTAGTCTGGGAGCAAGAAGTCTCGTTTGGAAATGACTTTTTAACTTTTTGTGAGAGGAATAATATAATGATTATGGGTTGGATGTGATATTTTGTCTTATTAGGTTAAAAAACCTATATTTTTTTTGTAACTATTTTAGCTAAAAAAGCCCCAACATCAACTTCTCAAATAGAGGCATAATGATAAATTATTTTTTTTAAACTAAATTTGATTAAAAATTCAATATAATAGTAATACCACATCATCATTGATATGCCACATCACCTACTAATAGTAAATAAACATATAGAGAGTGAATCTCACATGTCAAATGTAACTAACAATCTAATAAATTTCATATCTTTATAGTGAGATTACTTATACTTGCATGTCATTAATAATGATATCACTATTATATTCAAAAAATTTCATAGATAATATGATTTATAGTAGTCTTTTCATTTTCAATTATAACAACCACTATTGTTCTCATAATTTTTAAAATGTCATTGACATTTCACTCTAATAATATTTTTGTAATTTTTTTATTTAAAATATCTTCTTTCTGTTTGTAAAAAAAAAAATTCCCAAAATCCAGGGGCACGTGACCCCGCTAGTCCTATACTCCCTCCGCCACTGGTTGGATGTGATGTTTGTGAGAAAAAAATAAAATGATTATGGATTTGATGTGACATTTTGTCTTATTGGCTATTTTAATGTTATTTTAGCCAAAAGAAAAACCAAAAAAGCTACTTTCCAAACACCTCCAAATATCACTTTTTACCCATAATCATTATACTTTTTCTTTCATATAAATAAAAAAAAGTCTCAAAACAAAAACCAAACGAGGCTAAAAAAGTTGGTTTTATTAGCGAATGCCAAACGACCCTTTAAAATTTTTATCAAATATTTTATATGGACGTAAGACTAATGAATCTCATGTGAATTTCATAGTCATATGAAATATTTGATAAAATTTTTGGCATCTCTAATATTTTTGAGTCAAAAAGCTTATAAACATGGGTTAGTTATGTAATTACATTATTAAGGGGTTATTTGGGATAGCCTAAATAAGTACACTTTTTATCTTTTTACGAAAAGATGTGCAGAAAAGTATATAGGTGATATGATAAAAAAAGATAAAAAGATAAAAAAATAAATTATTTTAGAATTACCAAACTTGACCTAAATACAGTTCGTGTCTTGCTTTTATTGGCCATGCCTTTTTTTGTTCGGGTGTCCTTTTCAATATAGTATTTAAATTAATCTTGACTAATTTTTTTTTTTTTGTTTTTGTTGATTATTACACGTCTGTGAAAGGTATACCATCTGTTTTGTTTTATCTTAACAATTTCAACTTCATATATTGTAAGTGAATTTGAATGTAGATGGAAAGTCATCACAAGAATAAATAAATACATGACTGACAATCTAGTTAATGTATTAAGCCATTTTTGTTCATAAATTTGATAACATTATAACCTCTAAATTTTATCCAAATTTTACTTTTCACTCCTATGAATGTGATCCTTTCAACGAGATCAGATCATCAAACACAAATATTTCAACAATAATTTTATTAAGATAATTCAACAATTATGATTTAAATACAAAGAAAAAACTATACCATTGTCGGGTATTTGGCTTTAAAAAACATCTTAAAATCATTTTACTTTAATTTTTAAACTCAAATTATTGAATTATGTACTTTAGTAATATATTTTTGATTTTTGCCCATCTGAAAAAACATAGGATTAATTACATTTTTAATCCACACAGTTTGACTTAAATTTCATTTTGATTTCTATTATTTCAAACTGTACAATTTAATCCCTACATTATAAATCTAGTTTTAACTTGATTTTTCCGTTCAATTTTGAGGTTAAAGCTAATCCAGATCTTCTAGAATAGTTCTTCTAGAGTAACTTTTTGAATAGTTAAAATTTTTAATTTTATAAAAATTGAGAGTAAAATAGTATTGATAGCCACTTTAAAATAATAAAAAAAACAATCATATAAAATCACTCTAAAAAAAAAATCGCTCTACAAATATACAAGCGAAAGAAATTAATGAAAATTTAGACAAAAGAAACAAAATGAAAATTGAACTTAAAATACTCCATAAAATGTAATTAACGCAATGGTGGGAAAAGCAGAGGATCCTTGCCACTTTTTTAACCATATGTTTGGTGGAGCTGTTTTTTAAGATAAAAAGCTGATAATTGGAAAGTAAAGTTAGAAGTATTTCTAGGTTATTTGGGATGTCTTAAATAAATGTTCTTTTTGTATTTTTTGATTAAAAAGTTGAGAAAAAAAATATGGATGTTTAAGTTAATTTTTTAATTTTTTTTGAAAAAATGTATATTAAAAAATTATATAAATAAGTATATAGGAGAAGATAGGGTAGGAGGCCGTACGGATTGGTAGTGGAGTCGGCTGGGTGAGTAGATGAGAAAATATTGCCTCCTTTTCGGGATTTGATTGGATAGTGTTGTTTGTCCGGTGGAGGCCCACCACGGGTCCTATTTTTCTAATTGAAACCATTCAATGTGTAGAACTCGTTGAGTACTATATGTTTGTAAAAAATCACGTTGATTGGATATCGATAGCTATCTGATCGTGTTAGTTTTTTTTTGTTAACTGTTAACTGTTAACTATAACACCATCCATTTTTATACAAAACTGATTTGATTATGTAGTTAGCGATATCCGATAGACGTGATTTTTTACAAGTATATAGTACTAGACGAGTTCTACATATTGACGGTTCAGATTATCAAAACAGGATCCATGGTGGGCCCCCACGAGCCCAACTTTACCATCCAATTTAGTGAATATACACATGTTATTTTTTTATTTTTCCTTTCAGTGATTAGTTCATCACGTTAGTACCTAGGTTGGGCTAAAAAGTTGATTTGTATTAATATTTGTATATTAATTTTTTAATATATTTTTTTTAGTGAATAGTGATAACTTTTTAATTTTTTTGATAATTTTTTTGATTTTTTGACTTTTTTTAAAGTTGCCAAACCAGCTCTATTTCTACTCTAATTTTTAAATAATCAATTTTTTAAAGTTATTTCTGCCTAATAAGTTATAAGCCGAAGTTACACTAAATAATTTGATACAGACTCTCAAATTAAAATAAATTATAATTAGAGGCGGAGGGAAAGAAGGGACAGGAGTCACGTTCCCCCTCAGTTTTTATTTTTATTTATTTATTTATTTATTTTGTGTGTTATTATCATATACAAAATGTATTTTTTTTTTCTTAATATATTTTTTGGTTAAAGATTTATTATATTGTTCGCAACAAGTAATTATTTCATACTTTAGAGTACTATGAAGTGGGTTAATTTTTTGATTTTTTGACTTTTTTGGCTATTTTAGCCTGGGCTAAAAAGTTTAGTTTGAGAAGGACTTTTTGACTTTTTAGCTTTTTTCACTTTTTTTTGTGAGAGAAGAGCGTAATGATTATGGGTTGGATATGATGTTTTGTTTGTTATAGCTAAAATAGCCTATTTTATTTTTTGTGACTATTTTAACCCTAAAACCACTTGCCAAACACCACCTATGTGATATTATTTATGTAGTAGTTTAAACCAATAGTATAGCGAAAAATCTTATAGATTGGATACAATGAACTCATTATTTTCAGGCAGTTGACAGAATACTTCGTGTAATTTATGATTTCTTATGCTTTGAGTATCATGTAGGCAATACTATATGATATTCTAAGACTGTTTAATAATTTTCACTCAAAACACATCATTTATAAGCAATGTCATCTCTTTAATATTTTTCTGTCAAATAAAAATTAAATAGATTTTATAATAATTTGTACTATAAATGATGTGTTTTTATTTTTTAAAATTAAGAATTTTGATCCATAATTTTTTATATTAAAATTACAAACTTACATCACCATCTCTCACCAAACTATTCTACATTATTATAAAATTTTAATTTATTCTTATTAATAATAAATATGTAATTTCTTATATTTATATTTAGCTGATAAAATTATTACAGCATTGTTAGGACCCCAGTGGAGTGATCCCAACACCCCATCTCCACGTGAGGGGCTATAAATGCAAGCCTTAAAAAAAAAAAATTTCTATACCAATCAAAAAACAGCGACGGTCACGCCACTGGAAGTACGAAGGATTATTCAAATTATTGTTATCTTAATATTGATTATAATTTTTTTAAAAATAAAAAAGTATAATTAATGGTCACGCCACTGGAGGTACGAAGGATTATTCAAATTATTATTATCTTAATATTGATTATAACTTTTTTAAAAATAAAAAAGTATAATTAATAATACTCTATCTAATTTAATTTCCTAATTCCGTCCCTAATTATAACCACTCACCCAATAACAATCAGTCTCATCGCAAGGTCCTCATTCGAGGCCAAATAACAAAGCGACACGCAATGTGTTAGCAATAACTATTTCACGACACGTGTACGACCAGAATCTATTTCTCACAATTACGGTTTTGTCCTCTCTCTCTATAAATACCCAAAAGTCGGTTTACAAATTAAGTTTCTTCAATTTTCCCACGATCCAAACAGCCAAGAGAAAGTCACTTTCTAGATATTTCTGGAGTTTTTGTGGTTATGGTGTCTCTGAATCCTAACCCACCATCTCAAGATTTCTTTATCGATCAATTGAAAATGGACCTTCCTGGTCTCAATTCAATGCCAATTGCATCAAATAACAACCAAGCAGCAGGGACTGTGAATGCGAATTCGAATGTGAATTTGTTGAATTCGAATGGAGTTTGGTCGTCGAAGGATCTGAATAAGAAGGTTCGGAAACCCTACACCATCACCAAGTCCAGAGAGAGTTGGACTGAGCAAGAGCACGATAAGTTCCTCGAAGCCCTCCAACTGTACTCTCTCTCTCTCTCTCTCTCTCTACGAAATTAGGATGTGGATGATTACGTGTTTGGTTCTCGAGAAAAGAAGAGGAAAAAAAACTTCTTGATTGTGTGGTTTTGGTTGATTTTAGCTGAGAAAATGTTTCTTTTCTTTTCTTTTTTTTAAATGTTCTATGGGTTCTAGATTGATATTCAGAATTAATTTGTTTTATAATTTTGCTACTTGTTTTTAATTGGTTTGACTATTGGTGTTTCAATTTTTAGGAATTTTCTCGAATATTTTCAAATTTGAGCTTGGAATTATGGAAATCTACATTGTTCATGATTCACTTTGTTTATGACTTATCACTCTAGTTTGGAATTTTCTCGAATATTTTCAAATTTTGAAATCTAGAAAGTTTGTGATTCACTGTTTATAGTTCGGAATTTTCTCGAATATTTTCAAATTTGAGCTTGGAAATTTGGAAATCTGGAAAGTTCGTGATTCGCTTTGTTTATGGCTTACTCACTTAGTTTAGAATTTTCTTGAATAAATTCAATTTTGAGCTTGGAAATTTGGAAATCTAGAAAGTTCGTGATTCAGTTTGTTTATGACTTACTCACTTTAGTTTAAAATTTTCTCGAATATTTTCAAATATGAGCTTGGAAATCCAACTGCACGTTCTCTCTCTACTATATTAAGCTATTGACGATTGTGTGTTTGCTTCCCGAGAAAATAAGAGGTAAAAAATTAACTTCTGGGTTGCGTGGCTTTGGTTGATTTGAGCTGAGAAAAAGGGTTTTCATATTCTATGGTTCTAGATTGATATTCAAAATTAATTTGTTTTGTACTTTAAAGTTTGATACATTTTTCAAAACTAAGTGAGATGCTATGGATTGTTGGTTACTGATGGGCTTGATTGTAAATTTGTGCGTTTCTTCACGTTTGTTTAACTAATTGTGTTTCAATTTTTTCGAATATTTACAAATTTGATCTAGAAAGTTCATAATTCATTTTGTTTTTGATTTACTCACTTTAGTTTGGAATTTCAGTGTTTTGTATCAAAAGAAAATCTGAGGTATTTTGATCTGCTAAAATTTTCAGGATTCAGTGTATAGAGTTTAAATTTATATCCTCTTAAATATGCTAGATAAAACTAGATGTTGCAAACTGTTTAAGCAACCAAATTTTATACGATGTTAATATCTACTACAAAAGATTAATTGTGTAGTTTCTTTTTATTTTTATGTATTTTTTTAATTTATTGACATGTGTTACAATATCTGCGTATGTATGTAGGAATGAACATAAGGAAATAGCTAGTGCCAAAGCTAGTCTGAATTTTGAACTCAAATTGTTGGAATACTTCAAGAAATTCATTGAAATCTTTTTATCCATGAATGAAAATTTGTTATTTTTGAGCATCATAAAGAAAATTTGTTCATTTTACAATATACTTTGGAAATGATTGGAGTCTTCAAGTGCTTAAAAATGTGGATTCCTTTGTTAAAATTCCTGGCTTTTCTTAATGTGATGGAAGTTTATTGAGCCAAGGGGAATTAAATCAGTTCCCTCAGGTTTCAAATTTTAGCCATAAAAGTGAATGAATGGGCCTGTGAATACATTAAATATGCCTCTGATTTCAAATATCCTTTTTGTATAAAAGAGCATGGTTTATACTTTATGGTTGTTTTAAATTTCCATGTTGCTGAGGACGTGCATTTTGATTTTAAAAATTCCCTTTTTTTTGAAAATTTCAGCTTTGATCGTGACTGGAAAAAAATTGAAGCATTTGTGGGGTCAAAAACAGTCATACAGGTAATTTTAAATTATACCTTCTTTGATCATGTATTTACCATAGGAAAACAGTGACCTGTTAGCAGACGAAATTTTGTGGTTTCTTGGAACCTACCTAGGACAGAACACAAGATTTCTTCTTGTTTACTTTTGTCGTATCAGTTATTCTCTCATATCTCATGGTTTGTCCATTCACATTAGAGCATCTCCAATCGTTCATCAAATTTGACTAAAAAATTGATGAAAAGTTTGATCTGATATGATGCACTCTAATCGTTTTCATCAATTCTGCCGGTTGTCTGGCATAGAGTAAATTTTGATCAAAATCCGGTCATCCACCCGGTCGTCCACCAACGGTCAATTTCGAAATTTGATGAAAGGTTAAACGCTCTCTCGATTTGATGAAAAATCTGCCACTTCTTTTATTTGATATCACTTTGATGACAGGATTGGAACACCGTTTTCACCAAATTTTCATCAAATTTAAATTTGATGAAAGATACAAGTAAATGTTGGAGATGGCCTTAGAGAAGAAACCTGTTTTGAAATCTTGAGAAACAAGACCTAAATAAAAATTTGAGTACAGAAAATCTCAGTGCTTTACATAAGTGATGGTGTGGTTTAAATGTGAAGGAAGACCTAAATACTTTATAGACAAATAAACAATGGTAGCCCTGCTAGCCTAATCAATCTCTCCTGGCCAATAATACCCATAATAACACTTTTTCCCATGTTGACTTTAGGCTCAAAATCAATCTAAAAAAATTCTCAAAAAGCAAATTAACCATTCTCTCCTCTTCAAACTGTAAATGAGTCACAGAAACACTATCATACTTTCTTTTTTCTTTTTCTTTTTTTTGGTTGTATTTTTTCCTTTGGTTCATAATTTCTAGCAAGCATTCTGCAGCAAGTGGACTACTACTACATACATGTCTTCATCAATATGCTTGTATGCTTCATCCATATTCTAAATTTTTATTCTAAAATTTAAAGGTAATCTTTGCAGATACGTAGCCATGCTCAGAAGTATTTTTTGAAGGTCCAGAAGAGTGGGAAAAGTGAACATGTACCTCCCCCTCGGCCGAAGAGGAAAGCAGCTCATCCTTATCCACAGAAGGCCTCTAAAAAGGGTTGGAATTCTTAGTCTCATATACATACATTTCTAATTTTAATTAATAACCCAAGGGGATCCTTGTTCACAACTCCATACTTGGCAGGACCATTTCAATCATCTGGTGCTCTGCTTGAACCTGAATACGTTCTCAGGCCTGATTCATTATCGCTACCTGGCATCCCAATCAATAATCCAACTTTGCCTTTCTCGAATTGTAATATTATGCCACTTCCACCGGTCAATGTATCACATATTGCAAAAGGTTTTAATTTGTTCTTACCCTGTCTTTACTTAACTTTGTTTCAAGAAGTTCATGGCTTTATTTATTGATATGCATTTATCTTGTTTGTTTGCAGATGAAGTGGGTGTAACTACACCAATCATGACACCAAATTGTTCTAGCAGTAGTAACAATGCAAGCACCCCGAGGATATGGCCTACCAATGAACCAAACTATCAAGGAAAACGAAATCTCAACAAACCACTAAGAGGTTAATGCCTTCTTTATCACATAAAGTTGTGTTTTTAAAACTTTAGGGTTGCATGCTTTTAGATCAAGTACAAGTTCAAAAATGCCTGACATGTTCAGATTATTATTTTCTGGTCACACATTAGCACAAAGAACTCAGTGTTCATGCATCAACTTACCTTTTCATTACTTTATGTTGCCTCATTCAGTTCCCTAAATTCAGGGGTTCAATATTATGCTGTAAGGAATCATGACAAGAAGGCATTTCTTGATAAATCCATTACTACTATGTTTTAGTGGAATTTGTGTGCAATGTCATAGTGCTCCTTTTTCATGTACTTTATGTGATAGACATCATTACTATTAGAAGACTAGTCATAAGTCTTTACCAATAAAATAAAATAAATAATGCAGCTCCTAGCCATAAGCTATGATCTGGCATGCATACAACATCAGATGTTTATTTTAACCCAAAAAATGGATGGTTGGGATCAAATCATAACTGGAAAAAAAATAAAAACTAAAAAAATGCCCACCGTCTCAAGCGCCTCAGGCCTGAGTCTAAGGCTGGCACCTCGGCCTTGCCTTGCTGAAGTCACCTTGCTTTAGGTCTCTTGAGGCTCTAAGGCCTCACCTTGCCTGACTTCTCGTCAAATCCTATGCATTGCAACTCCCAAATTTGCACATTTGTCAGGTAATTTCATGGGGGCAGAAGAAGCAGTAGAGATATGATCGATATCGTGGAGACATAGGTATAAGTTTCAAGTTTTAAGCGTAGAAACCTTCAAATTCGTATATTGAGGCAGAAAATTGCATGCATAGGCAAAATCAGTAGAGAAATACCAGGTTTCCTAAAGACACAACTAAGTATTAGAGTTACACTATTATAGTCTTAAATACCCAAAATCAGTGGGGAAATACCAGGTTTCCTAAAGACACAACTAAGTATTAGAGTTACACTATTATAATCTTAAATACCCAACCATTTTAAATTATAAATCTATTCTGAATTTTGATGGTGATCTGGTTGTATAGAAATTCGCAGATACATAATGGTATTTTTTCATGTTTCTTCTGAAAGTATTCAATATCAACTTTGGACACACATGTTTTGCATCTGTTTAGTACACACATCTTATAAATTTAACAACTGTTTGGGTGCTACTGTGTCTCATGCTCGTATCCTTGCTTTCCCCCTTGATAACTCACTCAATTGGGTTTCTGTTGTTTGTCCACTGCTCCTCACTTCTTTATAAGCTCTAATGCTTTATCATCACTAAGTTTACTTTTTGTTTTGTGCAGTTATGCCAGATTTTTCCAAGGTATACAGCTTCATTGGCAGTGTTTTTGACCCCAATGCAAGTGGTCACTTGCAAAAATTGAAGAATATGGATCCAATAAATGTTGAGACGGTAATTTCAGTCTTTAAATATTTAATACTTCATATGTTTTTTTCTGCATGAAACAAAATTATTTGTTGTGTAATGAGGCATGGTTGCCAAATTCATCATTCTAAAAACATGTCATTTCACATACCACATTCTCTATTCTAGGACAAAATTTTCACAGTACTATCTCCTTGTTACTGTTTCTTTGAAGAATTGTCCTGTGATTATGATTTCTTCTCTTCTCTGTCTGTATTTGTTCTAAAGTTTAGTGACATAATCTTGACCCAGTAAATTGGCTTCCTAAAGATGTCTTGCAATGGGTGGGTGCATATGCGAGTTACACATTTCTAATTTTGTGTGGACATACTGAAAATGTGGTGCAAATGTTATTGCTTCATATTAATGTTCTCTTTTAACTTGTTTACAAATCAGTTATTCATTACACCTCAGGAGGAATACTTTTTTATGTAGATGACTGACTCCATTTCTTTTCTAAATGTTCTTTTGTTTGTTGTCTTGTTTTTTTATTTTTTTATTTATAAATTTTTTATTGCCACCTGCTTTTTATAGCTTGATCACTCATTTACCTAATGTCTTGCTTGTATTAATTTATCTACTTTATCCTAAAATGCTAGTCTTATTGCAGTAAATTTAATCATGCATGAGATAAAAATCTACTTGAAGAAGAAATATTTGTATGTGGAAGTGATCCGTGAACTTCTGATTTCATATCACTGTGCTTGACCATTACTGCTGGAATAATAAATACTCAAAATGATTGCAAATATCTGGAAGTGATCCAAATTCTCTCTCTCTCTCTCTCTCTCTCTCTCTGGGGGGCATGCTAGTGTATAGGGCGTGTGTTTTGTATGTTGTGTCTGTCTACTCAACCCATGTTTGGCGCTTTTTATTTTTTTACTTGGTTTGCTTGAATTGTTTGAGAAGCAGATGATTGACTCGAGTGTTTTTGTTTGGCTCTTGTGCAGGTTTTGTTGTTAATGAAGAACCTTTCTGCCAATTTGACAAGCCCTGAATTTGAGGATTATGTGAGTACTTTTTCCCAACAGTTCATGCATCTGTTTCTCTTGGCCTAATTTTGTTCCATTGTCAGGGTTTGATTTCTTCACTAGTTATTTTAGTTTCAGTAAAATGACAATATGCTTTTGCATGCAAAGCCCTGTTACTGCTGTGTTATCATGCTGTGCTGCTTTCTTCTACACCTCTGTTGGTTGTTCGTCGACAACCATGTTTTATGTTTTACCACGCAACTCCACAAGCCATGGTATTTTAATTTTGTTGTATTAGATGTATCATATGAAGCACAGACACTTCAAAACAAAGTGCCGTACCCATGTCGAACACATGGACACTTCGGGAACATACGGACATGGCGGGAACATGTATGGGACACGCCATTCGGGAACATGCAGACACGGCGGGGACAAGTATGGGACATGCCACATGGTGTGTCCTCTTATTTAATTAATTTATTTTCAGGAGACACTTTGGGAACACATTGGACATGCCAAGTTGTCTTTTCCCTCATTTTTTTTAATGTTTTTGATGAATGTTAAATGTTGAATGTTTATTATTTTTTTTATAGATTTAGATACTTAATAGATCATCCATAAAAAAAAAATATAAACTGTAAGTGTTAATTTAACAATGCTTTTTAAAAATATAGATATAGAATTAGAGTTAATTTTGTTAATATTGATTGTTTGTGAATGTAAAATTAATCTATATAGCAAATTAAAATATATGAAAATATATTTTGTTGCCGTGTTCCTGCCGTGTCCGTGTTTTCATTTTTTTGAAATCGCAGTGTCTCGTGTTCATATCCGTTTCCGTGTCTGCATCCGTATCTGTGTTCATGCTTCTTAGGATGTATGTGTTGACGTGTCAATTACAGCTCCTACCGAACAGAAAACTGAAAGCTCCAAGTCTATTTTTATTATTTGCATTGTAGCTTTGAGTATATATATATATATATATATTATAGATAGATATACCTGAAGCTTTGAATAATCAGCTTAGGGTATGATGAGATATCACCCCTTATTTATACATGAAGATTAGGGTTTACAAACAAGACAATTACAAGATGATCCCTGAGGGCATCACAATGATTACAGACCCAAGTGCCTTTCGGCTAATAAAATACTAAGACTTTTGGTGATTATAATATGCCAACAATACCTACTTGTCTCTACCTCAAACACTATTTGGCCATGTACCAGTCCTTGAACTTCAGATCAATCTGATGCATAGACATGTACAGATACCCCGCCAAACATGAGCTCCCGTGACATAGTTGGCTAGCAGGCAGCTGGATTGATTACATATGCCATCTTTATTACAATACCCCATCAAAGAGAGTGAAAAATTAAGAAGCACGGGTAGTTCAACAAAAAAAAAAAAAAACTAAGAAGCACGGATACAAACACGGGCACAAGACAAAGTGATTTTTAAGAAACTAGGATACGAACAAGGATGGGATACAACAATAAAGAGAAAAAATTAGTTGCTCTGTATATGAATATAAATTTAGAGCACAAAGATAAAGAGGCATCAATGTATATATGGGTGTATTTTTGTTTTTTGTTTTTTACTTTTCCCTTTTTATTTTCATATATTTTACTTTGATTCCAAATTATCTTTCTAAAAATTTATATTTAAAAATAAAAAACCCACAAAGGTGTCTCGAGGTTTGTACAAACACAGGACACACTATCCGTGAAGTGTCCCCAACATATCTTGCAAAAAAAAATTCAGAATTAAAAATTATATGGCACGTCCAACACCTGGACATGATGTGGACACGGCACCTATTTTTGAGTGTCTTGTGCTTTCTAATTGAACAACATCAGATCCCTTGCCTCAACATGGATGTGGATATGTTGAGCTTCATGTAGTTTGTTACATCTTTGTTGCAGTTCATGTGAAACATCTTGATAGTGTTTATCCATCTCTGCTAATCTTCTTCCTCTTTTTATCTCATCTGAATTGTTGCAGAGAAAGATGCTCTCATCGTGCGATGCTGAGAAGGGTAAATCCAATTGCCATCACAGTAATCTCCACATGTGTAAACCAGAGAATGCTATTTCCTCAATTTAGAAAGAAAAAAGGTGAAGAGAACAGACCTTTTTTTCATATTGTATTAGAATTTAATTTCATCCTATCATAGTTTCATTTTACTTGCTACTAATTGTAGGTGGATCAGCGGCAGGTAAAGGAGAATAATATGCAAGCTTTGGTTGCTACCAACAGTCGATAGCATGGAGATAATATACTTGTATATTTGTGTCTGCAACCATGTATATACATATCCTTGCACTTTCGTGTTTTGTGTACATATATAGGGAGGTATTTGTCTATAGTAACGCATAGTACCGTGTTGAGTCATCTTCTACGGTGTAGTTGTGGAACTATTTTGTAGCGTGTGAAACGAGCATTTTCAAGCTTTGGAGGTGTGTTGCTCTGTAAGGCATGTTTTTGAGGTCTTACTTGCTAGTGAATTTTGTGTGTCAAAACTATCTTATAGATGATCTATCCTAATCATTGAACTCTGCAATCATCATCTTTTGAAGAAATTTAGGTTTGTTTTGTGTTAAAGAAATGGTTTTTTTTAGTTGTGTCTATTTGTAGATGCAGGGTGGGTGGTAAAGATGGTAACACCATTTTGACCATGAGGTTTGTAACTTTGTTACCCTCATAATTGGAGGACTTCTGGTTTCCTTTCATCTTATGTTGATTTTCCTTCTAATGAATGATGATACTATTTGAAATCGTATTTTATTTTATTTTTTATTTAATAAAACAAATTTTTGATGGATCGTGGGTTGTACTGTATTTATCACTATAAAATTTACCATAGCAACAAAGCTGGGTATCAATCCTGTGCAAGCTCAAAGTGGGTGTAATTTATATTAACATACTAATTGTTTGTCTTGTGCGGAAGAAAAAAAAAATTAAAAGTAAAAGGTAAAACTTTATTTTTTAATGAAAGTTCAAATTCATAGATTTTTGAAGTGTTTCATTTTTTCAAGCAAACAGCTATTACTCGCCCTCAAGCTCTACTTGGCAAAAGTTAGAAAAGTCACTTCTTTTTTAATCAAAAAAAAAAAAATTTCTTCACATTTTTTTTCCATTTTTTTTTTTTTTTGGGTTTAGATTTATGTGCAACATTTACTTTTCAAGTCCATGACGAAATATATATATATATATTTAAAAAATGTCACAAAAATTAAATAAGGTTTCGTTTGGCAAGTAGTTGTTTTAGTTTAAAAGTCAAAAATTTACTAAAAAAATTTAAAAGTCAACAATTTATATTAAAAAGTCAAAATTTTCATTTTCTCTCTACTTTTTACACATCTTTTCTTAAAAAGTTAAAAAGTCATCTCAAACATATTACTTTTTTTTATCTCATATTTTAGTCAAAAAGTTATTAAAATAGACTGTTTCCAAACGAGACCTAAGTATAAATAAAATATCATTAAAACTAAAACCATAAAAGTAACATTTATTCTCTTATTTTTAGTGAAATTTAACAATCATATATCCCTTAATTTTGGAGCTCTAATTGAACTTTAATGACGTGATATGGAATTTTAAATAAATAAATAACCAATCACAGTCAGGCCTACCCCCATTAGAGCTTATTAGAGCTCTTTTATTAGAATTTTCAATCATTTTTTTAAAAATAAAATTAAAAAAAAAAAAGAGGTTTATTTATAAATTCCATTTGGAGGACTTGTAGCACAATAAGTCCATAAAGTTCTCGTGTTCCATCTAGTCTCATACATATTTAGACTTGTATCTTAGAAGATCATTTTTTCCTTACTTATAATATTTTTCGGACTAATATACCTTTTGTTCTATTTTTGATAGTAAGTATTACACACAATTGTAATTTTTTTGTTTCTTTTCTTTTTTGTTTTGACAGTATTAAAATTAGTAGGATAGGTTTCTTTAAAACCTCAATATATATTATTAAATTATAATATTGACAAGAAAATATGGTTGAAAAAGAATCTTACAGCATAAAGAAACTCTCATAGTCTCTCTCTCTCTCTTTAACTTGCCCATTTAAGAATTGGGAAAAATCACAAAACAACAAAAATTCAAAGAGATGAATTGGGTGATGATCATCAAAGAAAAACAAAATACAAGAAAACCAGAAAGGAGTTCATCATCACCATCATCATTCTTCCATTGTTGCAATTCCAAACTTTGTGTTCTTCTATTGTTGATGTTCGAAACTCTGTGTTTTTTTATTATTACAATTCGAAACTCTATTTTCTTCCATTCAGATATCGTAGGGGTAAGGTTAGCACTATTTTTGTTTTGCAACTGCATATAGGTATGCGTTGGTAGGGATGTATGTTCGGAATTGTTCAATAATTTATTGAAGTTGGATTCGACTTTTTGTTTCAAGATGGATTGATATGGTGTTGTATATCTGTGTATATGTTTATTGACTGGGTATTTTTGTAAATGTACCACATCTACTGAAATCATTATTGTTGTAAATTATTAAATTTTAATGTTTTACATTTGGTGATATGAACTTCAATACTAGAAACATGTGATAGTTGCATGATGTGCAATATAGACTGATAATTGCATGATTGTTGCATAATATGGATGTTCACGTTCACATATCATTGATAATTATATAAGTTCTCATGATTATGACATGATGTGAAAATTCACATTGGTGTTATGATTATCCCATCTTTAATGAATATTAATATTCACAATTAGAAATAGTCATATAAGCATAAATAACAATGTGATATTTTGGTCACAACATATTGTGCATCTTAATAATATAACATAAAAATATAAATATTCACATCAATATTGCATTTACTACACTTCACACTAAATGGTTATATGCACGCAATAACAAACCATTACCAACAATGTACAAAAATAACATGACCAACAATGTACCAAAATAACATGACAACATTAACCATGCATACAAATCACAATTAATGTTAATATTCACATTAAAAAATAATCATACTAGGACAAACAATGTGAATGTTCACGGTATATGGTTCTATAAGGGAATATCAAACAATGTGAATGTTTTAGTAAAAAAAAATTTAAAAGATAGACGATTTAAGATTTTAAAAATATGAGAGATTTTTATGTGGAATAAAGGAGAGATTTTCTCCATAGAATGAGAAAGATATTTTTTTTATGAAATAAACAAAAGATTTTATCCCTGAAATGTAGAGATTCTCCCTAGAATAAAGGAAAGATTTTTTCTATGTAACAAGGGACTATTATTATTTTTTAACATATATTGATTTTAAAATGAAAACAGCGATTTAATCATATTATTTTAATTTAATCATATTATTTTAAATAGGACCTAATGGAATATTTTTTTAAAAAAAATAGATTAAATGGAATATAACAATTGGGAATAGAACTTTTTGAAAAATGACCCCAAAAAATCTCAAAAAACTTACCCCTCTAACCTAATAGGACCCATAAAAAAATTTCCGATTTTTTTTTTTTTTAAAAAACACTTAAAAAGTACCGTATTTAAATTTTATAAAATCAGTAACAAGAAAATTATTAAAAAAACAATTGCCAAACCAAATTACCTTTTTTTTTAAAAAAACAATTGCCTAAATTATTAAAAAAACATAACGGCTGACATTTGTACGAAGAAATTTCACCCTTTATTTTCTTTTTTTCTTTTTCCCTTGGCAGATAGATTCACACAACAAACTACATAGCGCTTCAACAAATCACGCATCACAAGCACAAAACACTTGTACAAAAACTACATTACTTTTTTTTTTTTTTTTTTTTTCATTTTTTCACTCTCTTTTGGCTTTTAAATCATGAAGGAACAAACCCAAAATCCCAGTCACATGCCAATTGCAGATAAAGTTCCATCAATTACAGTATCACCATTCAATCTTTCCCTACAACAAGCATTCAAAACCCATCCTCCATGCAAGTTATAATGCACTGGAGACATATATGCTTTTGCAATGTAAAAGAAGGGTAATAATGATCTTACTATCTATATCGAAAGCTCGTGTCAAGCTCGTGACCATACATTCCCTGGCTGTGACCAACAGCAGCTAAAGGGTGGATCTGCTTTGAGTTGGCTCGGCGTTCCATCTCAAGAAGCCTCTGAAATGCCTCGGGATGATTGCTTCCACCGCTAACATCGGGAGCTGAAAGACGAGAAAAATATTTAGTTAAACCTACGATTGATACCAGAAAACAACAAAAACACAACCATAAGACAGAAAAAGGAGGGAAAGGGGGGGGGGGGGATTAGGGGTGTAATCAGTTCGATTCGGTCAGGATTGAGAGAAAATTTAGCACCAAACTGAACCATTCATTTTGTTGGTTGAGAAACTAAAACCAACTAAATGCTACAGTTTGGTTTTATTGGTTTTTAGTTTTGTCTAAAGAAGAGATTCACTAGAGGCTTTTATAGAAATTTGTAGAATCTCACATCGGGAATAAAAGAGAAAGAATGAAGACTGCTTTGTAAATACCTCCGTCCCTAACCTTTATTACAAAAGGTGTATCATTGGTCACTAAAACTTCTAATGCTCAAAGAATCGGAATGCAAAAGTATTTAAATATAATATTTCGGTCAGTATCAGTGTAAAGATTTTCAAAAAAGAAACAAACCATATGTTATGAAAAACTGACCAAAAGTAGAAATTTCAGTCGGTTCGGTTTGTTTTTACTGTTTTTTCTTACAGCCCTAGATGCAATAAATTTCATAGATAAAATGATCCCCAAATAATACACTTTACAAGAAAACATACTGAATGTTAAAGGATCTGAGGAGGATGTTAATATCAGATTCTAGTACCAGACCACTTTTTCAAAGGCATGAACTGAAGAAAAAAATATGATCAGATTATCAATCAATATGCACAAGTTGGGACAAACCAAATTATCAGTCAAACTTCTAACCGAGTCATAAGAAGGGTCAATCCTTTCATTGTTTGGCAACCTACTAGAGTAGCATACTTATTGGCTTTTTATCTTATTTGAGTCACATCACATCTCTACTTTTCTACACATCTTTTCGTAAAAAGCAAAAGGTTACTAAAATACCCAATTCCTAAACAACTTTGGAAGGACATTTACAAGCTAGCACTTTACCTAAACGGATATAAAGCCAAAAAGGTAGAGGGGAACAATAAAAAGCAGTGAGGCTTTACCTTGCGAAGGCATTCCAAGACCACCAAATTTGGGTTGCTGCTGACCAAAAGGAAAACTTTGCATCGGGTTTAGTTCCTGCATAGAACCAGTTGCGTGATTGCCGGGGTGAGGTGGCAGTGGACCACCACCCCTGGGAACTTCTCGTCGTAGGTGAGGAGGATAATTGCCTGGCATTTGCATTTGCTGCAACACAGGTTGACGAGGAATATCAAATCCTGTGGACCCTGTGTTAGGGTGATGGAAAGGAGGGCGCATCATATTCACAGGGAATTGACGAGTGGTAGGAGCATCACGATGAACAATGCCCTCTGGAGCCATGAAGTTCATCTGGGAACTAGCATGAGTAGGATGCAAATCCAACGGATGGAAAAATGGCCTCCCGTGATTCATCCGAGGCGGATGAAATTGAGGAGAAGATGGTTGTTGGGCATGAAGTTTGCCAAATGGAATCTCGGGCTCCATTGGATCATAAGGACCGCGGATAAAAGGTGGACCTTCACGACCTACCATAGGTCGTATGTCTTTCAAAACTGTATTAAGAGCTGACAGCTTCTCAGCTATGACGACCTGTTTGTTAGAGGTATTAGACATATTCACAGGATCACCAACTGTAATCAAGTTCTCCTCCTCAGGCAGCTGAATATCAACTGCCCCATCAAAGCCACCGAGTTTAGACACTAAATCATTTTGGTGTTTTGATGGATCCACTTTAACTTGAGTATTATTAATCCCCAACCAATTTTCAATTTCATCCGAATTCAATTGCTGTCTCTGACTTGATTGCAAAATATTGCTTTCATCACTGCTCCTGTTGGATCCAACTCCAACCATAGATGCTGGGAAAAGACCACCACCCATGACTCCAAAATTTGACCCATGCAGCTCAGAAATATCTGTCCTTGCAGAACCAACTGATCCTCTTTGGATGGAAACCGGTGCTTCAACTGATTGCAGCTCCTTCATGAAAGCAGACCCAAATAGTGTTTCAAGAGTCAGATTCTTCCCAGAATGTTGAATATTTTCAACCTTTTCCACTCTAGAGTTGTCAAGTGCACTGCCAACAATTGCTCCTTCAGAAACATTATGTTTGTCTAACAATCCACCATCTAGATTCGGGGACTCTGTCATATCCTTCAAGTCTGTTCCCTTCTGCAACAAGGACAGGAGGTGCTGAGATGCATGATCATCAATATCTGCTTTTGACACCTTAGTCTTTGTGCTAGAATCACTCCAGATTTGAACAGGATCCTGCAAAGTTGAACCACTTTCACTATACTCAGACAGAATTGTCTGTTCAAGGTCTTCGCAAGTGAGGATTGGAGGGATTGCCTCCTGTTTACTGCAATTGTATAACGGTTCGGAGATCCCAATTGTGGAAGATGTCATGTTAGATGTTAAATGCCAGTTGGTAGGTTCAGAATTTTGGAAGGAAATGTCTGGTAGAACGTGCTTGGTGGCTTTCACATCAGAAACTTGGGATCCACCTTTCTCACCACCTACAATTAATGAAAGCAAATTTCTAGGCCTAGTATGGGATGGATCTTCTGCTGCTTTCTTTTCTGCAGTAGATGAAAAGCACTACTACTGAGGGAAAACAAATAACTAAGCTCATGAATTTGATAATGAAAAGAATTCAAAAAATTTAAATTAAAAATACTAATACATGCATACCATCTTCAAGAAACCAATCAGCAAACTTGGAAGACTTAACAGCATTGGGGCTCCATGTGTCATCTTGTTCAGAATCATGATGCTGAAGCAACAAAAAATGAAAAAAGTTGTCAGATTCCCCGTTTTGGTAAGTAAGAATTCAATAAAACTGCCAAAGATGATGTGAAACCAATGCCTGATTATACAGAGGCAACAAAACCAAACCTCCTCCAGAAAACTTAAAATCCATAGTAACTCTTTGAAAAAACCAAAAGCTAATGACAAATTTCCAGAGAACCAACAAGAGAAATCAACATGATGCTCTTCACCTTCATACAATAATTTTGACAGTTCTAAGGACCTTCTATTTTGCTTAAACCAAATGGTCCAACAAAGGCTAGCATCACCTCCTTGCCACATACTCATTTCCAAGATGCCCAAAGGAATAACATCTAGAATTTGGATACTATTAAAATTGCATTTGTGTGGAACTTCATAAGAACATCCACACAATCTGCGGTTTTGAAGGAAATGTATGGCATTTTAACCATGGAGAAAGTTAGTGCAAATGAAGTGCCCTAAGTGAGCAAGGTTATTTCGCTATTTTTGTTTGCTCGTGAAACAGATCATTGGGTGCTATTTGGATAGCACTCCTCGTCACTAAAAAAAAATGGTAGTCCAGAAAAAGTTACTACCAACACTGGAATGGAATCTGATCATAGCCGCAGTGAAGTGTTAGGATGCACGCAGGGAATGAGTGAAAACTTCAGCTGCTTTTTTATTTTTATTTTTGTGTGTGTGTGTGTGTGTGTACGTGTTTCTGTCAATGTCCTTAATAGAAAACAAAGTCCTAGTCCATGGGGCCACTAGTGCTTGACTAATAGAATATCAAAAGGCCCTGAAAAACATAATATACTGCTACTCTAGGTTCACGAATTCCATCACACCCTTCAATGGATGGGTAGGCCCTCTTACACTACCAATTTCGAATCACTCTTCCCCTATCTAACAAATAAGGTCAACTTCGCCTCGAAGGAAGAGGTCCAAGCAACAAGAGCCACACTGAATAGTGTTCGTAGTTTTCCCAGTAGCCTTCCAAAGAAAGGAAATGCCCACTCCCGCTCCAAGCCTTATAAAAATATCTAACCTAAAACCTCTACTCTCATATATCCTCCCTCTTGAGGCATCCTCTTTATCTTCATTACCAATAGAATCACAAAGCAACTAAAAACAAAACCAAAATCTTGCAATACTCCAATTCCAAAAAAACTGATCCACCTACGCCAATCTTGCAATACTCTCCCAAGGCCAGGATCCCAGAGCATGCCACAGGGCATGAATCTCATATAAGAATGGATCTCTTCTTGAGAACATGACACATGACACACAAGACACATCATTCCAGACTTAAACTTCTACATTCAGTTACCAACAGATGATAAAGATAGGTTAAGTTGGAATTCAAGTCTACTTTCTAGTCATCCTCCCAGACTTAAACTTCTACATTCACCTACCAACAGATAATAAAGATAGGTTACGTTTTCCGAGTATCATCCAATCCTAGTTAAGTACAATACAAATTGCTAGGCATCTATTCAAGAATCCAAAAAAAAAAAAAGACAATCAGAATTTGATAAGTTCTGTGCATATATAATAGCATAATGAGTGGCATAGTGTTGTTTGGGATGATGTAAACAAGTATACTTTTTGACTTTTTACGAAAAGATATGTAGAAAAGTAGAGAGGTGATGTGGCCTAAATAAGTGCACTCATTTAGTTTATGCCAAATATAGAACTGTGATCATGAAGAATTTTATAAATAATTCTAACACATTTAATATAAACTTTCAATAATAATGGACCAATAAAAGAAGCCTTGAAGAAAGTGACATAAGTACAAGAATTACCTCAATGACACCTGTGGATCCACTGAGATTCACTGTTAAAACATTACCAAAAATCTTTTCTAGAACTCCTGTCGAATGATTCTGTTTGGAATCGCTAATGATTTTATGCCCTGTCACCTTCTTGGTATCGAATTCAACAATTTCACTACCATCCTGGGTTTGAGAAGCTTCTGAAAGACTGGAAGTTTTGTATAGTTGATTGTCCACACCAAGTTTCTTATAAGAAACTTCCAAATCTGTTGATGAATCCACAATCTGCTCACCCTTATTAAGAGATGGTGAGTGAATGCTCGTATTTTCATGCTGCTGCTCTCTGAAACCCATTTTCTGAACCAACTGCCTCTCCTCCTGATTATTTATATTGCCATTTTGCACAATAGCTTTGGCATGAGAAAGGCTTTCCTCAAATTCAGGTTTCCCAACCTGTAAACACAATTAGTTAATATAGATAAGCTGTGTTCAGCAATAACAAGACCACATTTCAGCAGATTATGGCAAATTAGTCACAGAATATGAGGAAAATTTCCATGGCAACTCTTAAAAATAACTAAATAAATGAGCATAAAGTCAGCAGTCCAACTTTGCTCTGTTTCTAGAAGAACACACACAAACACACTCGGGAACTGGAGCCAACACAAAAACTCAAATCAGCAGAAGATCAGTGTAAGTTCCCAGCACCAACAATCCAAGGACCGATTTGTATAGATCAGCACCACTGTGATCAACCTCATGTAAAGGCTTATTCAGTATATTCTAGTAACATATACAAAACCCAACTTTTTGACTCCCAAAAAATTAATCAATTGTATACATAGAGTATCTTCTAAATGAGGAACATATCACTCCCTCAATTGGAGATTTAATTAGCACTACGTTCACCAACAGCTGGACCAACCGGTGTAATGGAAAATTTACAATATTGAACTATTTACCAATGAACACAAGCAGCCACCAGCTTAGTCTTAGTCACCTTGCAAGAGATCTAGACACTCTTAATATATGATATGTCACACTATATTTCGTATCTACTACTTCCACACACAAACTACAATAGTTTATTGGTACACATTATTAAATAGTCATTTTCCAGATGTCAATGGTTTACCGATGGTTCATTTTCACTTCCATATGATTTTTTGTAGATATTTTCACTATCATATAAAAGATTGGCAAAGTAATTGAAAGCTGAAATAAAGCCACTAAAAAGGACTTTAATCCTGAGGTTCCAACTTAGGCTGCATAGGGGTAATGAATTTATAAAACTTGGATTTCTAATCCGAGCCCAGATAATATATGATTTTATGACCTGGATTTGCTAGATGACAGTGGCAACTGAAAATCAGAAAGGAAAACATGCCCTAACAACGGGGTAAGATATGGAAGTGAGAAAGAAGCGCTGAACTTCACATGCATGCCAAATTTTCAATTAATTTGTTCTTCTGTAAAAATCAAAGAAACCACCAATCAGTTGTTTGCAACGGGCATAAAAAGATGTTCATCCTGAACTTATCATGAAGTCTAGCAAAGAAAGGCATGTGTTGATGGTTTCAAATCTTTAATGAAATATAAAAAGTTTGTATATCAGACTTATTTATTTCATGAGGACCCTGAGGCCATGTTGTCCAGACAGAACAAATCAGCAGGGGTAAAGTTCCAGTGCATAGAAAGTATAAATGAATGGCAGGAATATACCTCTGCTGAATGGGAATGGGTTAAAAATCTTGTGCTAGAATTCATCTCCAAAGTTGTGCTTTTAAAACCTGGGGGTACAAGTGGTCTGGCTCCAGAAGTTTGTAAAGAAGATTTGCTAGAATCATTATTTGAAACCGCTTGTGTCACGATCTCGTCCAATTCATTGCTTCTATTTAAAACTAAACTCTTTCTTTCTTTTGTATCTCCTAGTAATTTACAGAGATCTGAGACATGATCATCTTTATGCTTGTTGGGGTTCAATTTTTGCTTCTCTTGAAATGCTTTTTGTTGTTCCTTCCTCATCAACTCAAAGGATTCTGGGAAGAAAGGTAGAGAAAACAAAAGGTGAAACAACTGTAGAACAGTAAATTGTGGGCAAAAAGTGGCATTACCACTGATCAAATAAAACAACATTACCTCTTCTCCTTCTTTCCTCTTCTGCTCTATCCTGACTTGTACACTCTGCAGAACCAAATGTTTCATCATTAAACGAGTCACTGTTTTCTCTCCGTGAGTGAGGTACTGCCTGGAAAACAACAGAGGGAAGATATACATAAATCATGAAGATGTTTAGTTCAATAAAACTTTGACTGAATTCAATTCTCATTGACAATAGATTTTTCCTGTAACAAAAATAAAGTACTGGCGTTATAATGAGCCCATGGACATATTGAAGCTGATCTTTCTCATTAAGTCACCAAAAATATAAGCAAGCACAATCTTAACCTTGTAAGGGCGAGGAGGTTGATACGGCTCAGTACTCCTGTTCAGCTGGGAGAGATCATTAGATCGAACTTTAGGAGCTGATAACCCTGCTGGAAATCCAGATGGTCTTGGAAAAGAACCACTCCCAAGAAGCCCATCATGCTCAGAATTTTGCCAAGACCGCCGAGATTGGTTGCTATGACGCCTTCCAGAATCTGCATGAGAATGTGCATAACTCAAGAGGTCACAGAAGACACTGCTCATTTTGCATATATTGAAAGACTGTTTCGGACAAAGCTATATTCTAGGTTAGAACTACACAGCACAAAGTATGCAATATTTCATAACAGTCAAAAAGAAGTAAGAAACAAAATAATACTGAGAATATTATATAATACAAGTGGAGACAGTAGTGGTGGGGCCAGTGGCACTGAAGGGTTCAGCGATAGGTAAAATTTTGTTAAACAAGAAAATGCCACAAAAGGGGGCACGACCCTATAGGCGCAGCATATGAAAATAATATGTTTTCCATCATCAAAATTATTACATAAAGTTTTTTACTGGATATGTTAGCATAAAAGTTCACAACCAATACATTAACAAGATCTACCTCTAATCTATTTATCTATTCATATTTCTTGAGACAGAAGGATTGCATCTCATAAAGTGAGGCATAAAAGGGGGATCTTTCCCTTTCCCTAATTTTTTAAGCCTAAACAGAGTAGCATTGCCTAGAAGCAAACCTTGAGCCTTAAAACAGCTTCCTAAAACTACAAGTAGAATAATATGAATATGAATAAATAAATAAATATGTCATACACAATGAAAAATGAAAACTGAAATCTCAATCTCAATCTCAAACAAATTAAGCCACAAGATTACCTAAATAACTTATACATCAAGATATCAGTAGAAGTGAGGAATCTCAAAATAAACCTGAATCCCAGTCAGATTGTGAGTCACTGTCTCTTTCATTTCGTCCTGAAGAACGATTGTCCCACCTTCCATATGATCCCCGAGAATAATTGCTTGAATCCCCTCTGGTAGGTGGGGATGTGCCATAGTCAGCATGTCCATATCCCTGTAATGGCAAACTGCCAGGAATTCTTTGCCGGTCCTGTATGGCTTGGAAGGCATCCTCAAATTCACTGATATAAAGTAAAAGTTTAACATCAGAATGCCACGACGCCAGAAAAGCTCAGCAACAGAAGCCTCAATGACTACCATGCATGCCAATGCCAATCATGGAAAGGAGTGTCCTATCTCAACTCAACAGTCTTTTGAGCTAGTAAATTTGTTGAAACGGAAGGGATGAGTGCATCATACCTTAGTGTGGATCGGTCGAATCCACTCGGTAAATTTTTGCAAACATCTAACCCACTCAATGATAAAAGAAATTCTCTTGTATATGAAATTTTTGAATGCCTGATTCATCAAAAATAAGCTTTGTTGAATATAAGATCAAACCAAATTGACAAGTCTAGTTACAAAGGGGGGAAAAATATGTTCATTACTTCTTGGGTTCGGGAAATGATTCAGCAGCCTTGTCGGGAGAGACTCGAATTGCATTTACTAAGCTCATTCTGCAACACTGGTGAAATGCTTTCCTCACAAGACGATGAAGATACGCTCTCAAACTACCTTTCACCGCATCTGAATTCAAAGCTTCAACACCACACCAAAAAAGCAATACTCATAATTCATAGTAGCATTTTCATCGCTCAATAAACTTTTTTATCTCACCAAATTCCAGTAACTAACCCTTCATAAGGCTATTCTAGTTCAAACCAGTGAAGAACAGCGCTACGACAATTTGATGAAACACTGGTCTTCACCCACTAATACTTATCGAAACCTGCGGCTAACAAAAATGTAACAAAGCTAACACCACTACCTATACAATCCTGTCCCATCCACTGATCCATCTCAATCTACAATAAAACCAAATGATACAAAAATTCAACATCATGCCAAGCTCTCTTTACCAAAATTTCCCATCCATTAAATCAAGTACACATTCAGCGAATCAGGCTTTTTTGCCCTAATCAGAATTCGAACCTCGAATCATCCAACCACATGGATCGTCAAATCAATCAAATATGCGTAGCAGTTTGAATTAACATCGAATGAGAGTAATTTTAGGGTTTATTCTTTTTCCACTGGTTAAACATGGTCAGCTTCGAAACTAGGGTTTTGTTATAGGAACTATTTGGATCAGAGATGATAGGAGAGAGGGAGAGAGAGAGAGAGAGAGGAAATACCAGAACGAACGCTAAATTAGGGTTTGATCATTGCCTTTTTGCGGTATTTCGATCAATCGATCGATCGTTTGTGAATATAGAGAGAGAAATCGAAAGATGGAGAGAGAGAGAGAGACTGGAAATTGGTCTATCTTCCTGTAGACATCGCCCTCTGTTATAAAATAATAAACAGTAAATTACAATTTGCCCCTAAACTTTTACGTAATTCTTATTGTTTCCCCCATAATTGGAATTCTTGTAGTTTGGTCCTTATATATTGTGAACTTTTGTTAAATGTGATGAAAGCTTCCGTCAAATAGTCTCCCAGAAACCACCACGTCGCAGTAAGCCAAAGATCGAAATGATCAAATTTTAGTGGTTGTTTGGGAAGTGGTTATTTTAGAGATTTTTTGATTTTTTGATTATTTTAGTAGATTATTTTAATTTTTATGTTTGAAAAGATAGGATAAATTTTTATTTAAATTGTTATATTGAAAAATGTGTTGAAATAATATTTAAAGTTAAAATAATAACTTTGTCACTAATCTCGCATTTTTCAAAATTAATTTAAAGGAGCAAAATCGTCATTTCAGCCTTAAAGACTAGGCTTTCACAATTTTCACCCTATATACTGTCATGATAGTGTAGGTCTGCTACTGCCGCTGGCTTTGCTTTTTTTTTTAATATAAATTATTAATTTAAAATTTTTGTGATTTTTTGACTTTTTTTAGTTTTGAGACTATTTTAGCCTCAAAATGAGTCTTATAGTCAAAGTAAAACAACTTTTAAATGTTTTAATTACTACATTCGTTTAAATTATTTATTAAAAAAATCTTTCTACGTCTAATGTTTCAAACCTCTCTTTAAATTTATTTTCAAACCCCTTTATTTTCTTATATTTCCCTTTTTTTCTTTTGCTTTTCATCTATAATTCTTTCAAAATCTATATAGTAATTAATGGTGTAATTTTTGCCCGGCCTATCCTCGGGTCTATCTGGCTTCTGCAAAAAATTGGGCAAACCGGACCATTTGCGCTAAATCTTGGCCTAGGCCTAAGATTAATCGGGCTTAGATAGAGCCTAACATTTTTTTCTTACAAAAATTGCTTGCAAATGGCGTTAAGGTCTTACGTAGATTGGGCCAGAGAAACCATGGCCTAAGCCTGGGGGGTTGGGCTTTAGGTTGATGGGTCATTTTTACACTCCTAGTAATAGGAGTATAAAAATAGCTCGTGACCCGTGAACGGCCCGAAACCCACCTATGATCTAGGGTGGGCCCGGCCCAATTAGGCCTAGGCCCAAACCTAGTCCAAGACCCTATGCCTAAGCTTGGACCGTCATTTTAAAGCCCTGCCCGTCAACCCTAACCATAGACTGACTCATCGGCCTGTTTAATGCCCACTCAAAGTCTAACACGAGGCCTGACTCGCTTGAGGCCTAGTGTCATTTTTTTGTGAAAAAATAGTAACTTTTTGGTTAAATATTGAAAAGAAAAAAAAAAGTAAAAAATGTTCAAGCTTGCCTAGGCCCCGCCCAAGCCCGAGCATATATTCAGGCCCTCTGACCCGTCCAAAGCCCGAATACCCCCCAAGCCTGGGCCTAGGCCTGATTTTCCTAGCTTGTAAGCGGGGTCAAGCTGGCTCGAATTTTGATGGAAGCCCGTGTGGGCTGATATGGGTCGAGCCGGGCCAATTTTACATCTCTGTCTAGTAGTAATGCAATAAGTTTAGGAACAAATGTCACCCAACTAGGGATTTTAATGTTGTTAGTAAAGAAATAAACTAAAAATAATGAGGGCTAACAAGGGAGCATCGTACATAGAGTTTAAAAAGTTGGGTTGGTGCATAGATAAAAAATAGAAAATTGCAAGTGGTAATGCGATAAAGTAGGATAAGGAAAATAAAGAAGTTGTTGATAGTGGGCAGTAAAAAAGGTCGATAAAATAGGAAATGAGATATGCATTGTTAGAATAATGATAAGTATTGGGTAGGGAGAGATGAAGTGATTGCTCATTATTTGCATACTCATTCGCTATTGAAGCGAAAGAAAAAAGTTCCAAATGGCTATAGAGTTAAGCATATAAAAAATAAAATTATATAATTAAAATATAAAATTAAAAAAAAAATCATAATTTCATTGGTTGTCATTAGATTTGGATCGGGTCAACTCGTGTTAGTACCACATGGCATTTTCTGTCAACTATTTGCATTGGTGAACCCAGGAATAGAAGAAAATGGCCATAATCCTGTTATAAAATATTGTTTACTAAAATAATTTAATTAATAAAATTAATAAGAGATTTACGATAAATAAAATATGAAAGTAAGTAAACTCATATAGAGAGAGAAAGAGTTAGCATGTGAGATTGAGAAGCGTGTAGTCATTGCTCTAAAACCGTTGTTCCTCACCACGTAAAGGTATAACCAGAGTACAATGACTCCAAGATACAATCCAAGCGTTCACAGTCTTCTTCATCCGATGTTTTCATATCCGCCAGAAGGATATAAACGAGTCACGAACCATAATTACCAAAAAATACAAAAGATAGATCAAACTATAATCTTCAATAAAATCTCAGTGTATGTTATACTTATATATACTCTTGTGTCTCTTCTTATGTATCATCCATCTTTAGAAAACATAAGAATATATATAAGTACAAATCTTATAAAAATTAATTCATAATGTACGTGGAGCAAATATTTCCGTACTCCTTTTGTCAAAGCTTTGCGTTACTCCGAGCTGTGTCATACAACTTGAAAGCACAGCGACGGTAAGCTACTCGGTAAGTGTGTTGCCAGAAAACCTCTCTGACGGTCAAGTTAGCACTGTTAGAGAGAGAAATAAGACAAAAGTAAGGATAGCTCTGTGTAAGAGAAGATTGCAGACCTGTTGCATAAAAGCGCCGCAGGGCATATATAGCTTGTGTGTGCACTATCTCTACTGTCCATTTCTGGATGCGCGGCAATACTATCCTTTTTCTTTTTTACACGTATGCGTATTAGTATTGCCAAACAGCATTGGCCAAACTACCAAACGGTATTGATGCGTACCCCAAGCAGATTCCTCACCATACTCCGTTGGGCCACGTGGAATGTCCTAGCTGAGCAATCACTTGTGAAATCCTTAAGTGTGCTCGTTCTACAAGTCCATACGCCAAGCTAATTCAAGTTGGTCTAACCTAGCCATCTTTAAGACCGACCTAACTCTGGCCAGACTGCCGCGAGGGACTTTCTTAGCCCGGTTCACTCCATGATCCCACAGCTCGATCAAACTTTGTGCAATCATGCACGATTTAGTCTGGTCTATCACTGAGGCGCCGACCTATTTTGGCTACGATCCTTGCCTTGATCAAGGATAGCGTTCTCATTCCATCTAGCCCGGCCCACGACTCAAGCCCATCATCTAGTTTGGTCCTAACATCTGAGATACATATAGCCTGATAGCTAGGTCAAGAGCAAGGCTCACATTAGACTTTGCTTGGCATATTTGTTTGGCACAAATCTCCCTCTCAATTAATTGTGCAAGGAAGAAATATTCGTTGTCTTCCGTACGCCTTGTTGTCAAGTTCGTCTCACTCTGAAAGAAGTCCGACTAACTGCGAACAAAACAAATGTGAGCTACCCAGTGGGTGGTTTGTCGGAAAACCCCTTCCGACTTTTAAGTTAGCTTTCTTGGAGAATAAGAGATAATACAGAGCGAGAGAGAGAGAGAGAGAGAGAGAATTGCCAAAGTTTGCTTGCCTTTTCAGAGTGTGAGGTTATGTGAGAACCCATATTTTTTCATATTAAATTATTTTGGTAATTATATTTAGCTACTTAAATTTTGTAATCAACATCTATAATCCAATTCCATGACAACATTTTGTGATGAAATTCTGTAATTAACTTTTAATTATTTAATTAGTACAATTTTTATCTTCATATTATTATTATTGTTGTTGTTGTCGTCATCGTCGTCGTCACTTTTGTGACTACACAAAACTAATTCTTAATATATATTATTGTTCTGTATAAAGTTTTGCATTAATAATTTGTGTATAAGAAAATTAACCTATGGAGATTAATTGGTTCAATCTCAAGTCTCCTAGTTACGTATAATAATATTGTAATATTAAACTGACTCAAAATCATATATATATAAAAAGAGATGAGGGGGGGAATTGTGAGAATGGCCAATTGCCTCTTCCCAAGGTATTTCCTTGGACTTTGTTGTGCATGTATATTTTAGAGCATGCTTCTCCAACAGCACACACAACTTCATCAAAGGTGGACAAGCATGCCTATAGGATGGCAATTCAAACCAATAAGAAATTTTGCTAAAGATAAATCAAGTAAAATAATAAAATAAACAAATACAATTTAAACACCCATTTTTCTCTTCCACAATGCCTACGTAAGGACCCCATCTTCAGCCACCTTCAAATATACACGGCTAAGTAAGGGAAGAAGAGAAAGAGTAGAAAAGAAAAGAAAAAGAGAGGAATATGAGAGGGTGTTTGGTGGTCACCATTTAAAAACTAATCTTGAGGATAGTTTGTAAAAGCTCTTGAAGTAGAAATACTCAACGTCTATCCTCCCTTAGATATTTTTTTTTTAACCGAATCTATATATTAAATATATGCAAGAGTATGCATTGTTAATACATACTAGCAAGAATAGCTCAATGCATGTTTACATTTTGATAGAATGAGAATTTCATGATTATATGACTTCTATTCCTTCTTGCAAGCATAGATTAGATGGTTTAGCAACTGATTTTATCTTCTTATATGTTCAAATATTCTCCATCGTTTTAAATAATCTTGCATAAGAGTAAAATAAGATAAAGTTGGTTCACTTTTATTTGAAACTTATATTTCTTCACTGTTTCAGATTTATCGGATGTAAAATGCTCTAATAAATTGAAAATAACTTGTGTTTAAAATCTGTTTGTACTGGGAGTGTATATAGGTATTCTATACACGTGTAAAATTTTATGAAATCATTGGACACCA